CAGAATAGCCGGCCAAAATTGGTTTCAGCCGGCGACGTGAAAACGCGTGAAGATTCCAGAACTTCATCATCGGTGTTTGACACGGAATTCACTTGATCAATGCGTATCCACTTGCAGCCATCGCTTCTTGAGCACTGTCAACCGCACACGCTGACAGAGCCACGCAAAATCTGCTCCTCACAAGGGGTCTTTTACTTGGGAAGCGCAAAACAAGCGCGCGAAAACAATAAGTCATTCTTTCCCTCCTAGCATTCCATCAGCTGTCTGTTTCTAAAGTGGAGCCTCAACAGCGCTTATCTGTTCTCTTGCATTCTCATACACAGGCCAGGCGCAAGCAGACAGTGCTTGCGTCTCCTGCATCCGGCATTTCAGGACACATCGACAGTCAGGGGGTGCAAGGCTGAATAGATGGCAGTATGGCCTGCGTGGCAGGCCTGGGCATCATCGGAACCTAGTGGCACATGCGACAGATCACTGAAAATGATCTTTTATAGCCGAAAATCCATGTTCGTTCTGGACACGGGCGGCTGCACAGCTGAACTGCAGCCTCGTTAGTGCTTGAACATGGCCACCTGCGGCAGACCCAAAACCAACATAAATGCAACGCACCGCCGAATCATCGAAGTTAATCCAGGCTGCGAACTGGGGGTTAATGCGCGCAATGGCGGGAGTGGACAATGCAAATGCCATGGTTTCACCTATATCTTCAGGTCAACTCAATGCAGCAGATTCAGGGCAAGTTAAGATCAAAGTATGGAGGGCTTCAAGGTCTCAACTTCAAAATGTGCAATGTGCTGTTTGGCTGAAGTTGGGCGTGGAATTTACGAGGCAGTTCTCAATCACTGTTGGTCGGCGAAACTTCTGGACAGGATCAAGATGGACCTTGTCTTGGCAGGTCTCTTACAAATGTCGACTTGCAAGCCCGTTGCAAACACGCGTTGGCCAATGCTAAGCAGATACGCTGCGAATTCCGCAGACAGGCGCCTGCTCAAACACTCCTCCCATAACAGTGTGGGGAGGAGATCGCAGCGTTTGATTTGCAATCTGCGCGTCAACATTTCAGCTGCTAGTGGTTCAGCTGCGGAACAAGGAAGAAATGGCAAAGAGTGCTCAGCTTCTAGGCGACCGGCACTACTGTAATTTGAGCGCCAAGGGACCAAAATGAAAATCAAAAAGTCTGACCAGTTTACAATATTTCTTGGGTTGTACCTTATTTAGAAAAAGACAAAATGAAATTAAGTGAGGTCGTCTGAAAAACGAAATTAGTGTGACGTCGTTGTCCAGGTTGAGGTCGTTGAACACGCTTTGCCTGGCAGCACATACGGGTCTCTTAACCAATGACATAAAATGGATGGGCGGTTTTGAGGGTCGGTGTTTGTTGGGTGGACAGCGTATATATATATATGTGTGTGTGTAATTATGTAAATAGAAACGTATATATATATACAAATAATATTATACTATACAATATTAAATAATTATATATCATATTATATTAAATGGAACTATATTATATTTTATTTTATATACTACTAAATTATATTAAATGAAATTATGTTATATTATATTAAATTAAACTAAATTATATATTATATTATCTTATCTTATATTATATTATGTTATTTTATATTATATAATATTAAATTAAAATATATTATATGTGCAAATACTTGTACGTACCTAAATCTATCCGTCAGTATCATGATCCCATTTTCGGTGCTTTAATCCACTCGTATATAAATATAAATATATATATATATATAAAGATATAGGCAAGTGAGAGACATGGTTCATGCACTGTTGGAGAGAAAGAGAAAGAGAAAAAGAGAGAGAGAGAGAGAAAGAGAGAGAGATAGAGAGAGAAAGAGGGACAGAGAGCAGCCCCGCATAAAGCAACCAAGACTGGAAACCAGGAGCAGCCATCCCCGAATCAAGCCACGACAAACCCCTGCGCGGCTGCCTGGGCGAACAGAAGGTTGCTTTCTCTTTGAAGCGCTTTTGCGCTTCGTTGAACTTGACTGTCACCCCCTTGTGACAACAATATGTTTTGTAGTCTTCTGGGAACCCTGGTACGATGAAGCGCAACGCAACACCTTCGGAAACGCCTTACCACACGGTTCAGGTTCCAGTCGGCACTCTCATGCTACGGTAAGATGATATATAGTCAGATAGCCTATAGCCTGCTTTTCATCTGACTCGTCTCAGATGCGGCTTGCTCAGTGGCATTTAGGTGTGACACCGCACCATCTAGCATGGTCCCAAGCATGTTCAGCAAGGTACCAAGAAGGGGTTGCCTGCGCCGCTTTCATGCGCCGATGATTGGCCAGGCAAGGCCGCGCAAAGTTCCTCACAGAATAGCCGGCCAAAATTGGTTTCAGCCGGCGACGTGAAAACGCGTGAAGATTCCAGAACTTCATCATCGGTGTTTGACACGGAATTCACTTGATCAATGCGTATCCACTTGCAGCCATCGCTTGTTGAGCACTTCAAACCTTACACACTGCCCGAGCCACTCAAAATCTGCTCCTGGCAACGGGTTTGTCACTTGAGAGGCGCAAAACAAGCACGCGAAAACCACGAGAAACCACTTCCTTCCTAACATTCCCTCAACTTTCTGATTCCCAAAATGGATCCTCAACAGCGACTGCTTGTTTTCATGTTGGCCACCATCCGGCACTTCAGGCGATATCGGCGACATTGACAGTCAAGGCCTGCAAGGTCAAATGGATGGCCGGCCGTGGCCTGCATGGCAAGCTGGCCATCATCGGAACCTAGTGGCACATGCAGCATCTGATCACTTCATCATTGGGCAGACGTTTTTTGAACTAGTCTACTAGTGGATGTTATTTGGCCGAAAATCGACAGTTGTTCTGGACAACAGGATGACAACAGGCAGGGTTGCTTATCCAGGGTCGTTCTGGACAAGAGGCAGGGTTGCTTGCTGTCGCACGTGGGTCCTACCTGCTGCTGCAAAGCTGCAGCCTCCTGGTAATCTGTCGGAGCGAACGCAACACAGCGCCGAGTCATGGAAGTTATCCCAAGCAGCTGCGAACTGGTGGTGGATGTGCGCAGTGCCGGGGGTGAAGAATGCAAAACCCATGGCTTCACCTATCTTCAGTTCAAACTCAACACAGCAGATTCAAGGCAAGTCAACATTGTAACATCAGCCACGCCGTACATATGGGATGGTACCTGTTGCTACGTGGAACAAAAACAGACATGATTCCGCCACAATCCTGGCCATTGCTGTCCTTTGAAACTGAAGTCTCGACTCATCGGGGTGCAAGACCGAATCACACACGGATTGATGAAGAATGTCGAAGTCAAAAACTGTAGCAGAATGGCCCCATACAAAAGCCCAAACCCAGCTATGCCTGCGGGTGTCTTCAAGCTCTTCAAAGCTTTGCGTTTGTTTGAAGTGCATGGTGCACTTTTTTATGCGAGAGGCACTTCTCAATCACAGTTGAGCCATTCTGAAAACCTTCAGTCACTCCCTATGTTGTATCATTTTGGGCACGCCAAAGCTTACGCCATGCTTACGTGCGTAGAGTTCTTCGTTACGCGAAGCAAATTGAGGAAACCCTTACGTGAAGTCCTTACGCGGCTTTACGCAAGTGAGGGTTTTGCTTACGCCAAACGCGTTCTGACAAGGTCCTTACTGAAAATGTAAAGGGAGGTTTTTAGAATTTTAGAGCGGCTCAGTTGGTCAGTGAAACCCCTGGGAAGGATCGAGATGCGATTTGTCTTGGAATTGGCCTCTTGTACATGTCGACTTGCCGATACGCAACGAGTTCTGCAGGACGGCACATGCTGACACAGGGCATCTCACTGCAGGACCTGTACCAACCTCCTATCGAACAGAACCTCCTCCCACAGACTGTGGGGATCTGTGGGGAGGATATTGCTGCGTTTGATTTGCAATCTGTGCATCAACGTTTCAGCTGCTAGTGGTTCAGCTAGTGGTCGGATGTCCTCAACCACCCGGCACTCTAGCCTCTCCATTGATTTTGAACAAAGAAACCGATTTCGTTTCATCTGCATCATTCTACATCAAACACGTCTCACTTCTGGAGCCAAAACCTGCAGAGCGCAGAGAATGAAGGTTGAGACAGCATGGCCACACGTTAGACGAGCAAACCAGCGTGAACAAGAAGGTAATTGACAAAAGGTAACCACCGTGGGAATCCGCCAGTCCAGCCTAGCCTGTGATGAATGCTTTGGACGCCCACACTGAACAACAAAATCAACATTGTCCAAAACAGTCCAAAATCCGGGGGTTATCGCCATTGTTCCTTTTGGGTATCTGCAGTATCCCTCTATGTCCGGACACATCCAAATGATCAGCAGTGCACCGGCGAGCAGAACGGAACTTCTTTTAAAGGAACACCCGGAAGTCAAGAGCTTGTTGAATCAACATGGCTCGGGCGAGTGCCTCATACTGCGCCACATGCAAATATTCAAATGCTTTGCGCCTTACAGAATTTTCATTACGATCCTGCCGCATGGGCACAGTAGGCCTTCACTAAGCATTTCCAGAATGGCTCAACCACCTTGAACGAAGTTCCAGAGATGGGACGGGTTGGATTGGTCAAGTTGCAAACCCTTGCAGGAGTGGCCATGGACTGGCCAGGACTTTGGCACTTTGAACAAAATTTAGCCACAAAATAAAACAATAGAACAGTTGATTTGTGTGAAGCAAATGAAATCTGAAATCTGATAAATTTGCAATCTGTGGAAAATTTCCACGAAGATTTAGAACCAGCTCTGCGCGCAGACTCGAGCCGAAAGCTGCGCCAGGCATCGCCAGGCCACGTCTGTCACGCGAAAGCTCTGCACATCCGATGCCATCTGAGCTTTGACGACAATCTACGTGTTGCAGCCAGAAAGGGCAACGTGTCGCAAAGGCAGTTGAAGGTGATGTACCTTTTCTATCCTTTTCTTCTCTGGAACAATTCTTTCCAAGATCAGAATGCAAGAATCGATGACAATTCACCGGCTCTAAACACATCAAAGCATGTGCTTCGGCTCTGGCGCGCGTTTCTCCGGCCATGTGGCCGTGCACTTTTTTCAGAGCGAGTTTTCTTTGCAAAAGACGGTCTGCGCCGGAGAGCCATCCACCAAGACATGGAGCACTAAGCATGGCCTCGCACTTTCGTTCAGCAAAATTCTGTGGGAAACTCTGATGGATGTCATTGGGAACCTGTTTTTTTGATTTCAGCCGCAAACATCTTCCAGAAAAATGAACAAACAATTTGCCGCCACCTTTACAACAAATTCATTGCTGGAAGATGTTGGCCACTTGTCTTCTTCGTTTTCTTATTCTTATTCTTCTTTCTTCTTCTTCTTCTTCTTTCTTCTTCTTCTTAAGAACTGACACGTACTTGAGCTGCTAACGGTAGACATAGATCTCGCAGGACCTGAATCACGGTCATCCGACGAATCAGCTTGGTTGCACTACGTTCCACTGAACACTCACACGAAACATTTTTATCTGCGAAATAGTTTCCAAAAATACCACAGTGTCCCGAAGATATCAAAAGGATTCAAAAGGTACGTAAGATATCATATAAGTCACAACAACATACAACAACATACAACAACACAATCCTATCCCCAGTTTAAATTAAATACCCATATTCTATGGTCCCAAATATATGGTTTCATCCTCCACCATGGTTTCTGGGGATTGTTTAACATAAACGGGGGATGGGATTATATACATAAGATAAAATAAAAATAAAATGCTGATTGTATAAAAGATTCTGTTAGATTATCCGAGATTATATAAGATTAAAAGATTACAGATGATTATATATTATTAGATATGATTATAGAAGATTCTAGAAGATTCTACAAAAATATAAAAGATGGGATCAGATAAAATTCCATAGGAAAACTTGTCACTTGCGGTACATCTCGACATCTCACCTCCACCATGGGAGCTGCATTGTCCACCTGCCAGATCATGGCCATTCAAAATGGTTAAATCCATGTTGAATCTGGGCCATGAAAATGGTGAGTTGTGGTGAATTAATTCTGATTGTTGATAGTTGTTGATATCCCATTATTCTCAAGTTGTTTTTTTCGAAACCGTGATTCATCAACACTTATTATTGGATATTTGATTGAATGTGTCGGATAACTATATACTACATTATGGTACCCATTTGGCTTTGAGGAACACAGGTACTTCAAAAGCAGATGTTCAATGGTCCATTTAGAACTTCATTTTGTCCACTAAACCAACCGTAGAATGGACAAATGCCACGACCCTTATTTTGGCGTTTTTTAAACGGGTGTGACCATCAAAATGGAGGGTTTATCATCAGGTTTTGCGGTTCCACGCCGTAATTGTCTTGGAAACTCTAGGGATAAACTATATCAACAAATCATTTCCCTAGCGTTCAGGTATTGTTTCATTAAATTCAGGTGTTACTGTACGTTTGCGGTTTGATTCAGACGCAAAGCAACTGCGCGCACTTTTTTTGGTTGATTTTTGCAAAACGGTCATGCTATGCATTTTGCATTCTACGGTTTGCAAGGCTGAACAAAGGTGCACCATGTAAAATATTGTCTTCAATCAGCCAAGCTTGAATTTGAGATTTTTTGGTCATGAAAGCCGTGTTGGTCGTCGATCTTTCTATGGGTTTATGTTACGTGATAAGGGTCATTGTTTGCAAGTGTTGCGGTTTGAGCGTGGCAATGCCAATGGCAAACAGTCCAACACCATCATTGCAGCAGAAATAATTTCAATTATTGCACGAACAGACAGCACCAATCGAACATAATATATAACAATGGCATCTGTTTGAAAAACATACATTTTACATAGTGCACCTTTGTTTACCTTTTCAAACAGTAAAAATGCAAAATCCAAAACATGACTGCGTGCAGTTGCCCGGCTGCAAACATAAAACCTGAACGCAATGAAACAACACCTGAATGCTAAGAGAATGACTTCAACATAGACTGCTTTCGTTAGAAACAAACCATGATACAAATTTTTGAACTGAACCCTTGGGTGTCAAACATGTCGGCACCCGAAACATCGAGGTTGTGTCGCTTCCCTCCGGGTAAAACCTCGGATAAGCCATGGCTTGGTGCATCTGAATCTTCAAGGTGGGTCAGCGGTCCAAATAGCAAAAAAACATGGCTATGAATCATATTTCAAATCCTTTATTGGGACCTCCGGTTTGGAACCTTTTGTTCAAGTTCAACCATCCAATTACCGGGGAATCCAATCACACAAAATCCACCAACAAAGAAACATGGGCGATAGCTCAAAGATGGGCTATCAGACCAACAAAATAACTCACTTCCAACAGAATCGTCACATTTTGGGGAGCCATCACCAGCCATCACATCGAACTGCTCCAAGTGACTCCAAGTAAGCGGCTAAACGCTTCCAGACCTTGAACAGATAAAGGATGAACTGATCACCAATCTGGAACGGGTGATAGAGATTGACGGGGCATTCCATCTGAAACCAACTATCAAACATGAGGATAATGGAAAAAAATATATATTTATTTAAAAAAACCTAAATATATACATACGTATATTATATATATATGCACGTATAAATATATATATATATATATGCAATATGCAAATGTAAAGCCTTAACAGTATGATCAAAGGAAGTTTAGTAGTCCAAACTCCATGTTACGAAATTTTGAAAGTGTGGGGAGATTAGATACGGTTAGGGTAGGGATGTGCAGAGATTAGAGACGGAGAGAGTAGGGATGTTGAGAGACTAGAGATGGAGAGCCTAGGGATGTGGAGAAATTGGAGATGTAGAGAGTAGGGGCGTGCAGAGATTAAAGATGGAGAAATTAAGGATGTTCAGAGATTATAGATGGAGACAGTAAGGATGTGCAGAGATTGCGCTAGGGATGTGGAGTAAGAGTGAGTAGAAGGAGAAGTAGAAGTAGAAGCAGAAGCAGAAGCAGAAGTAGGAAGTAGGAAGTAGGAAGTAGGAAGTAGGAAGTAGGAAGTAGGAAGTAGGAAGTAGGTAGTAGGTAGTAGGTAGTAGGTAGTAGGTAGTAGGTAGTAGGTAGTAGGTAGTAGGTAGTAGGTAGTAGGTAGTAGGTAGTAGGAAGTAGGAAGTAGGAAGTAGTAGGTAGTAGGTAGTAGGTAGTAGGTAGTAGGTAGTAGGTAGTAGGTAGTAGGTAGTAGGTAGTAGGTAGTAGGTAGTAGGTAGTAGGTAGTAGGTAGTAGGTAGTAGGTAGTAGGTAGTAGGTAGTAGGTAGTAGGTAGTAGGTAGTAGGTAGTAGGTAGTAGTAGTAGTAGTAGTAGTAGTAGTAGGTAGTAGGTAGTAGGTAGTAGGTAGTAGGTAGTAGGTAGTAGGTAGTAGGTAGTAGGTAGTAGGTAGTAGGTAGTAGGTAGTAGGTAGTAGGTAGTAGGTAGTAGGTAGTAGGTAGTAGGTAGGTAGTAGGAGTAGGTAGTAGGTAGTAGGTAGTAGGTAGTAGGTAGTAGGTAGTAGGTAGTAGGTAGTAGGTAGTAGGTAGTAGGTAGTAGGTAGTAGGTAGTAGGTAGTAGGTAGTAGGTAGTAGTAGTAGTAGGTAGTAGGTAGTAGGTAGTAGGTAGTAGGTAGTAGTAGTGGTAGTAGTAGTAGTAGTAGTAGTAGTAGTAGGTAGTAGGTAGTAGGTAGTAGGTAGTAGGTAGTAGGTAGTAGGTAGTAGGTAGTAGGTAGTAGTAGTAGTAGTAGGTAGTAGTGGTAGTAGGTAGGTAGTAGGTAGTAGGTAGTAGGTAGTAGGTAGTAGGTAGTAGGTAGTAGGTAGTAGGTAGTAGGTAGTAGGTAGTAGGTAGTAGGTAGTAGGTGTAGTAGTAGTAGTAGTAGTACTAGTACTAGTACTAGTACTAGTACTAGTACTAGTACTAGTACTATTAGTAGTTAGTAGTAGTACTAGTACTAGTACTAGTACTAGTACTAGTACTATTAGTAGTTAGTAGTTAGTAGTTAGTAGTTAGTAGTTAGTAGTTAGTAGTTAGTAGTTAGTAGTTAGTAGTTAGTAGTTAGTAGTTGGCTGGGCGCGCGCAGAAGGCCGCGTCACGAAACAGTGTTTTTGCTAGTTCACTGCACTGGCGCCACAGCGAGAGCGCATTTTTTCCTTTTTTTTTGTGTTTCGCCCCAGTGAAACCTCTTTTTTTGTCTTTTTTTGTTGTTTTTTTTGGCGTGGTGTTGGTTGGGGGGGTGGGGGGTGGGGGGGGGGGGGGGGATGTAATAACGTTCTTTGGACTTGAACACATCTGGGATGTTATGTCATGAGATCTTTTCTTGGAATTCAACACATCTGGGATGGTACGTCATGAGATCTTTTCTTGGAATTCAACACATCTGGGATGGTACGTCATGAGATCTTTCTTGGAATTCAACACATCTGGGATGGTACGTCATGAGATCTTTGCTTGGAATTCAACACATCTGGGATGGTACGTCATGAGATCTTTTCTTGGAAATCAAGACATCTGGGATGGTACGTCATGAGATCTTTTCTTGGAATTCAACACATCTGGGATGGTACGTCATGAGATCTTTTCTTGGAATTCAACACATCTGGGATGGTACGTCATGAGATCTTTTCTTGGAATTCAACACATCTGGGATGGTACGTCATGAGATCTTTTCTTGGAATTCAACACATCTGGGATGGTACGTCATGAGATCTTTTCTTGGAATTCAACACATCTGGGAATCATGAGATCTTTCTTGGAATTCAACACATCTGGGATGGTACGTCATGAGATCTTTTCTTGGAATTCAACACATCTGGGATGGTACGTCATGAGATCTTTTCTTGGAATTCAACACATCTGGGATGGTACGTCATGAGATCTTTTCTTGGAATTCAACACATCTGGGATGGTACGTCATGAGATCTTTTCTTGGAATTCAACACATCTGGGATGGTACGTCATGAGATCTTTTGTTGGAATTCAACACATTTGGGATGGTACGTCATGAGATCTTTTCTTGGAATTCAACACATCTGGGATGGTACGTCATGGAGATCTTTTCCTGGAATTCAACACATCTGGGATGGTACGTCATGAGATCTTTTCTTGGAATTCAACACTGGGATGGTACGTCATGAGATCTTTTCTTGGAATTCAACACATTTGGGATGGTACGTCATGAGATCTTTTCTTGGAATTCAACACATCTGGGATGGTACGTCATGAGAAACCATGCACTTTTTGGAAAGAATCCAAGCGAGGATCTCGAGCAACTGTCTCGACTTTTTGCAGATTAAAGAAAACTTGGCGAACATGCGGTGGATGAAAATAAAAGTCATGCACTGAAGTAAACACACTTGAAAGTGTCTCAACTGAAGTAGTTTTTTTCGACGTCAAAATATGACACGCCAAGATATAAACATGGACATGTGAAGTTGCACATGCATTTCGAATGGCCAGCGTGGAGGATTTGCCATATCACCACTCATACATTTGTATCAAAACTGAGATGAAAGTGCACGAAACCATACGGCCATCTATGAGCGCCCGACCTAGTAGTTAGTAGTTAGTAGTTAGTAGTTAGTAGTTAGCAGTTAGCAGTTAGCAGTTAGTAGTTAGTAGTTAGCAGTTAGCAGTTAGCAGTTAGCAGTAGTAGTAGTAGTAGTAGTAGTAGTAGGTAGTAGGTAGTAGGTAGTAGGTAGTAGGTAGTAGTAGGTAGTAGGTAGTAGGTAGTAGGTAGTAGGTAGTAGGTAGTAGGTAGTAGGTAGTAGGGTAGTAGGTAGTAGTAGGTAGTAGGGTAGTAGTAGGTAGTAGGTAGTAGTAGTAGGTAGTAGGTAGTAGGTAGTAGGTAGTAGGTAGTAGGTAGTAGGTAGTAGGTAGTAGGTAGTAGGTAGTAGGTAGTAGGTAGTAGGTAGTAGGTAGTAGGTAGTAGGTAGTAGGTAGTAGGTAGTAGGGTAGTAGGTAGTAGGTAGTAGGTAGTAGGTAGTAGGTAGTAGGTAGTAGGTAGTAGGTAGTAGGTAGTAGGTAGTAGGTAGTAGGTAGTAGGTAGTAGGTAGTAGTAGGTAAGAGGTCGAGGTCGAGGTCGAGGTAGAGGTAGAGGCAGAGGCAGAGGCAGAGGCAGAGGCAGAGGTAGAAGTAGAAGTAGAAGTAGAAGAAGTAGAAGTAGTAGTAGTAGTAGTAGTGGTAGTGGTAGTAGTGGTGGTAGTAGTAGTAGTAGTAGTTAGTAGTAGGTAGTAGGTGGTACTAGTAGGCAGTGGTAGGCAGTGGTAGTAGTAGGCAGTGGTAGTAGTAGGCAGTGGTAGTAGTAGGCAGAGGTAGTAGTAGGCAGTGGTAGTAGTAGGCAGTGGTAGTAGGCGTCGGTAGTAGTAGGCAGTGGTAGTAGGCGTCGGTAGTAGTAGGCAGTGGTAGTAGTAGGCAGTGGTAGTAGTAGGCAGTGGTAGTAGTAGGCAGTGGTAGTAGTAGGCAGTGGTAGTAGTAGGCAGTGGTAGCAGTAGGCAGTGGTGGTAGTGGCAGGTAGAAGTAGCAGCAGCAGTAGCAGTAGCAGTAGCAGTAGCAGTAGTGGTAGTGGTAGGTAGTGGTAGGTAGTGGTAGGTAGTGGTAGGTAGTGGTAGGTAGTGGTAGGTAGTGGTGGTAGTGGTGGTGGTGGTGGTGGAGTAGTAGTATTAGCAGCAGTAGCAGTAGCAGTAGCAGCACCAAGGCAGTGATTGCAGATCGCAATGGAACTTCTGCGTCAAGGTGATGTTCGGAGGTTGGAAATAGCACAAAACCTTGCGTTTTCTCGCACAAAGGTGAGTTGCTGCTGCGGCTGCGTGCAACATACTATTGTCTTTTGTAGCTGGACATCGTAAATCGTATTGGAGCAGATTTTCTCAATTTGCAATAGTGACTTGTCAGCAAATTTTCTCAATTTTGGCACTGTTGATTTGAAAAGCGCTGTAAAATTGTCTTATTTTCTTTGGCGCCGAGATCCGGTTTTGGAGCTGCAATTTCTGACGCCGTTGCGTGTAGTTCTATTGTGTTTTGCAACTCATCTCTGCAGATCGCAGCGCGATGGCTGCGTCAAGGTTGCTTGGTGGCGCGGTTGCGAGGGGATGCTATTGCGTTTTGCAGTTCCAGATCATAAATCGCATTGGAGTGGCTGCATCAAGGTGCCAAAATCCGGTTTTGGAGCTGCAACCCTCTTTGTGTAAAAGTTTCTTTATCTAAAAGCTTAGTAAAAGATTCTGCGTGTAAAAACTTATCCGCATAAAAGCTTCTGTGTAAAAGCTTCTGTGCAAAAGCCTTTGTGTCTAAAAGTTTCTGTGTGCAAAAGCTTCTGTGTGTAAAAGTTCTGTGTGGTAGAAGCTTCTGTGTGCAAAAGCTTCTCTGTGTAAATGCTTCTGTGTTAAAAGCTTCTGTGTGGTAGAAGCTTCTGTGTGTAAAAGCTTCTCTGTGTAAATGCTTCTGTGTTAAAAGCTTCTGTGTGGTAGAAGCTTCTGTGTGTAAAAGCTTCTCTGTGTAAATGCTTCTGTGTTAAAAGCTTCTGTGTGTAAAAGCTTCTGCGTGTAACAACTTCTGCGTGCAAAAGCTGTTTTGTGCAAACGTGTGTGTGTGTGTTAAAACTTTGCTGTGCAAAAGCTTCTGCGTGTAGAAGCTTCTGTTTGTATAGGCAGATATGTGAATAGATAGATGGCTGGATAAATCGATAGATGGAATCATGGGGAGATAGATAGTTGGTTAGATAGATAAGTATGTAGATACGGACACAGATAGACAGGGGAATCAAAAATAAAGAGATGGATAGCTAAAGAAATAGATACGTAGATGTAGTAGCTGCATTTTGCAGACGGTGGTTCGCCTCGGGGGTCAACCACCATGAAGGACGGTAGGTCGAGACGGCGGTCGCCTACCAGCAAGGACGGTGGCTCGACTTGGCGGTCGGCCACCAACACAGGCATGGGAGGCGCCGAGCAAACAGGAGCGGAGGGTGCCACCGTGTGCAGCGGGGAGGGGCTGCACACTGAAACACACAAACACAAACAAACAAACAAACAAACAGAAGATGTATAAACCTCTAAAACAATAATGAATAGAGATGTCAAGACAGTAGAGAGTCGAAGACGGTAGAGATGTGACGAAGAGTAGATAGTTGAAGAAAGCCGGGAGGTGAAGAGAGTAGCAAACTGCAGGGAAACAGCAGTGAAGAGAGTAGGAGAGTGAAGAGGGTAGGGAAAATCAAGAGAAAGTGCAATCATCGGAAAAGGAAGTTGAAAGAGAAATGTCAGGGAGAAAAAGACGTCCAGACAAGCAGCAAGCAACCGGAGGGTCTGTGAAGATGCAGAATGTCAGGAGCAAGCCAGATCAAGAGACAGTGGCAGCATCAGACAAAGATGTCGAGAGCAAGAGATGCCAAAGGCACAGACTTCCAAGAGATCACGCAGTCGACGGCCGCGCCAGCCGGGGGGTCAGGCATCGTTCCTATAGGCTCTCCCTTGTCTTCACAGGTTCTTCCCTCTCTCGAAACTTCCATCACCGGCTTGCCCGGACTCTACTTGTATTGGGGATGGATCACGTTTAAAGAACCTGACTGGGGTATGAACATGCATAATCCATCATAATCCTAGCTATGCTAGGTGTGAATAGAATGGTACCAGGATGTACCAAGGTATTAATTCACTAAGACATGATTTCTAGTGCTAACAAATGGGATTCAAGCAACATAAACTTATGATTTTCTTTCAGAACAACAAAGATACAACATGATGCATGGTGACAATTTACTCCATTCTGTGGGGATCTCCCTCCAACAACAGACTATCAGATCTCAAAAACCTGGAAGTGAGCCGTCAAAAATTGTTTCTACAGTCTTCTACTGGCTGGTTGAGTGCCAAAAAAAAACTCAATGGAAAAACTCCACGCCGACCTTTCCTTTCCCCTTTTGCCTTTCTTCTTATATCCATCAGCTCGATAAAATCTCTACATGTTTCATGGACATTTGGACCGCATCACCTTGCTTGGTTTCGGGCGTATTTGCCTTGTTCGTCCCACTCCTCAGGTGACTCAGCTCAAGCCATCACATATCAAATGGGCGGGTTTTAGCAGAAAAAAATATGAAGAGATGTAGACATTGCTTTGGTTCAGGAGTCCAGTAACTAGTATCCAGTTTCACTTCTAAAAAAATGGATTGTTGATTCCTAAAAGTGAGCCCACCATCCATGGTCTCAAACAGTCAGGAACAGTGTTGAAACACTGAAAATGCCCTGCACCTAAATGGGCAAATGAGCCTGATTAATTCACCTATGCAATGTTCTCCGTGCAACCAATGTATATCTATATCTCTATAATATATATATATATACACGTATTGTATACTTATGGCTACTAAACTGATATGGACAGTTCACCTATGGGATGTTACCACATCCAGGGCCCAGGCCACGTGTCGATCTTCAGGGAACATCATCTGGAGTTGATCCTCCGAGCCAAACAGTTCAGCATGAACTGGTCATTGGAAGCACATGCTGGGAAAGGTAAGGAAACACATGGACTGGTCATTGGAACCTAGAACCATCCAGGGACCATCCAGTCTTAGGGGTATTCAAAGACTTGACTTCCCAACGTGAAGAGTATGGAAGGTCCAAGCGGCTTGCGCTAGCTGCTACATGGTCAGTCAGGACTAATCAAGATATGGCATGATCCATTGTGATCAATCCATGGCTAGAATAGACCACGATCAACAACTTTGGTTCAAAATGGGTCAAGTTGTTCACTTCGCCAGTTCTGGTTTCCAGGTGTAATCATGACTCAGGTGACCTCGGCAAAGCATGGTCCTCCAAGGCATAGCGTTCATCGAAGGCAGCCACAAAGTCTGATTGATTCGCTTCATCGTAGAGAAGCAGCATGGGCCACTCCACGGTCATTTCCTGACAATGGTCATAAAATGTTATAAACCCCGTGAATGGAAATATTTGGGTTTTCAGAACGTCGTCGTCAAATTTTCAGACAAGAACCGATTCAAAAGCATGCTGTCGGTCGTGTATTGAATTCATTCAATTCATTGCTGTCAATGTTTGGAATGCTCCGTTGGAAAAAACAACAGGATAAATCCCAACATGTGTTGAAATCCAAGAGAATCCCATCAACAAGAAGGGGTATCAACAAATATCAAGAATTGTCCCAAAAAAATACAGCCAAGGTTCCGGGTCTTCCCCCACCAACTTTGGATGTGGAGTGAGGCCGCCGTTGGCCATGCGATACCTGACACCATGGATACTTTCGGTGATGTGGAGACGATCTTCCACTTGGAGCCATAGATTAAATGATTGTTGCATACAATGATGTTGTATGATTTTTATGTCTTTAGTATGTTTTAGTGGTTTCATACACCGTTCGATTCTAGTATATACATATATAGTAGCTCTATGTTTGGCAAGAAAAGCGAACATGACTGCCAAACCTCAAAGCTCTCCTCATGTGGGGTGGTTTCCTTTACTAAACCTAGCTACCCCTCACCAAGCACAATACCATCACCATAGCATAGAATCATAAGCATATAATCACCATGTGGGCGGCTGTTCACAAATTATACAGTAGCAAGTTTCTGACCATCAAGGAATAATGGAAACTATTTTCTCCAACATCTACTATCAGAACTATCATCTCATTTTGGTGATTACAGTCCCCCTTTATCACCGCCATACCATGCGGCTCCAACATACGATTTATATCGAGCCGAATGTCATCCTATGTCTATCCGTCTATCCTGTTCATCCGCCAAGGCCACGCCATAAGGCCACGCCATGGCACATGGACATGTCGAAGAGCACCGGGCCCAGACGGCAGCCGCGAAGCTGCAGAAAGCTCTCAACCTCAGATGCGAATATTCACATGCGGTTGAGAGGGAAAACAAAGGGATATTCACATGAATATTATCCCGAATATACACCAACATGCCCTACTTTCACAGAATTTACATATCCGACATATCCCTTCCCCCCTTATATGAAACACTTCCCAGAAACCCTGGCAAAAAGTAGGGCATTGGAAAACATGTTTGTGACCACAGAATGCGGGTGTTTAATATTAGGGGAGTGTAACAATTAATAATGATATATATATATATATATAGATTGCGCAAACAAACCATCATAATAACATATACTGTGCATACTGTTCTAAACACCTATTTTACCATGTATATATGTATGTATATTATATTATATTTTCCGAATTATATTATATCTGATATTTTCATGTATGAAACACTTGATAGATGACAGACTTACCGACTCCTTATTGGTTGAAATTGCTATTGTGGCTTCTTGTCGTTCTTGGTTAAACCCCGCAATGATAAAACTAGCGTTGGATCTTGTTCTTGATCCCAATATCATCGACTAAACAAACCATTAGTTAATATGTTTAAACAGTAATCAACTATCATTGTGATGTTCAGCTGTCGACGATTTACTATCACTTCTTGAAAATCGTTCCAAACACACAGTGTTCTTTGTTTTCACTATCATAGTCAAACATGACGTTTCACATTACTTGACAATCCTCTAGTTTCTGGATAGCTATTTGTTGAGGATTACATTATTTTGCAATCCAGTTGATTTATCAATAGTTCTTACTTGAACCATAAACAACTTTAATTATCTTCTAGATGTTGATTCATAACTTGTGGGCAAACCCCAATAACTTGGAGTAGATGAATCGATTAGTTGACTATCCTTCATTTATCACTATGATTGTTGATTTATCATGTGCACCAATTAACTGACAATCCATTGCTGAATTGGTATCATTTCATGGTTAAGCCATCACAAATACTCGTTTTACTATTAAACTACTATTGGGAAATGATCAAATAGTCAATCAAAAATAAGTATCATTTAAGACAGCCATTAAGATAATCAATAGAAAAAATTAGGATAATCAAAAATGACAATCAACATAACAATCACAATCATTTACATTAAATATATAAAGAATAATAAAGGTCCTCCTATCTCATCATTCCTCGTTCCCATCCGTTCCCATCCGTTCCCATCCTCGGCGAGACACCGCCGAGGCATTGGCCTTGCGGCTGTCCTTCAGCTTCTTGTCCAGCTGTCGCATCTCTTGCTGGGCCAGGAGGTCCTTCTCCAAACGCGCCTGCGGAAGTTCCCCGATGGCGGTGATTTTTTGTCAACCCCCCAACAAGACATCTTCATTATAGATATTTATAAATGATAATGAGGCGAAGAAAATGGTATTATGAATAATTCATGAACAATGGGTATTATATAAGAGTTGGCATGAAATCATATATATATATATATGTAGATAGTTATTATCATTGTCATTATTCAATGGATTGGTTTTGTTGGGATTAACTATCGTTGAAATAGCTTCCCTGAAAACAGTTTCCTGTTGATTATCGCTTCAAACATGTCTGGGAATTATAGGATAGTTATAAGTATATATATATATACACCTATATACACATATGTATCACAAGGTTCATTGTTGGGTATGTATAGTTGGTATTGCCATTCCGAATTTAAAGCCGGCGGAGCCATCTCAAGTTCATATTTGATGGGTAATGGATGCTGGAGGGATAATGGGCTCATTAAAATTTATTAAATGGGAATATAGCGGGAATATAGCCAAGCAGCGTATTCAATGATCCGATATGATTTATCATGTTACATTGAATGCTACCTGAAGTGTGGATGTATTGAATAAGGAGAATTGTTTTGGGACGAGGAATGATATACCCCATGATCTGTTGAGTTGCTGCCATGGGGGATTGAATATAAGGATGAGCTCTGAAATTGGGGATGACCCAGCATTTTCAAAATGCAGTTGGCAGAAGGAGATGTCTGGTGTTGAGATGTGATGAAATATCATGATATGTGACTCTAAGTTCTTAAACTACTAGTGACTACTAGAGGTGAGGGGAAAAATGGAACAGCGATTTGAAAGGCATTTTCTTGGCCTCACAAGCAACAGTGGAGGTTTTGATGCCGAATGCAGGATGAAATGGGGACTCTCACCGATAACATGGAAAACTGAAGATGCATGATAAATTGCCAACTGGCTTTTTGGGATGTGTGAAGGGCACTCATGCTGTTTCTTCCCCATTGGACCAAAAAAAACGAAATGAACGTAGCCCGAAAGATTCCGGAGAGAAATCCTCGGATCCAAACTCGGCGCCTGAAGCTGCTTTTGAACCCGGAGAACTTCTGGCTCCTGCGGTGCCGGGGTTTTGGGGATCCTTGTCTTCATTAGCCACGGGAAGCCACACCGTACCATGATTTGGGTTGGGCCATGCACGATGCCATCCAAAGTACCAGGCAGGATGCAAATGGTTTTAATCTTCAACTTCACAACCAACCAACAGCTGCAAGTGTTACAAGTGAATGGATCTACCAACATGCAATACCCTGCAATTCGCATCAGAACTTCACAGCCAACTAAATCCCCAAGTTCACTACCAACATCCATGCGACTCAACACAATAACAGGAAAAAACATCCTCAAAACCATCAGCTCTATCAGCTTCAATAGGGAAACCACCAACAGAACCATGATTAAAACCATCAACTCTCAACCATTGCCTCAATCAAACCTCTGATAGTCAAACCCAACAATAAAAAAGCGGTATCGCAATATCTCTCATCCAATAATCCCATTAGAATATCCCAAGAAAAACACTTTATATCAACCCATCTATTGATGTTCTGATCATTTTTCAAAATTTCCATCAGATTCCAACAGTATCATCCTGTAAAATCCCAACAACTTCCCAGAAAAAGTCAGCTGCTGCAGATGCTGCAGTCCTTGGGGTCGAGTTTTAAGGCGCCGTGGCAAAACTTCAGGCCCTGTTCCGCCAAGCCCAAGACCTCGGATGCCTGGGCGCCGCGGAACCAGGCCTTCAGATTGGAGCCATCCAGACGTACCTCGAAGAACCGAAACGAGGATGGGAGGATGGGATGGGATGATGGGAAGTAACTTGAAGTAACTTGAAGCAACTGATAAAATATATTGAAATATATTGTGAACATACTAAAAACTATGGGATTTCATGATGTAAAACCGGGATTTTGGGAGATTTCATGAGTTAAAAACGAAGATTTTGAAGGCATGTTGAATTCATTGGAAGGAATTGATTGGCAGATCGGATCTGTGCTTCAACCATAACCAATCACTGAGTCGTCATGACTTTACACCTGGAAAAAATCCACAGATCCGATAAGTTCCTCAGTAAAAAAACACCTCAGTTCACCTGTTTGTCTCAAAATGGGTTTTGATGAAAACCGTGGTAAGAATCCATTAGTCTATTTATGTCCGACTCTGAATCGGGGTAATCTCTTATTTCTCTTATCAAAATGTTTTGAAAAAGGAAACACCGGCGCAGGAGCACTGCGTGTCTGCAGTCGTCCACCACCTGCCGAGAAATTTGTAGCCATGGGCCCAATTTATGGCCCAATGGCCAAAGTTATGGCCAAAGTTAGTGAAAACAGGGGACCGAACAAGGGAACCAACCACGGTATCCTTCGATAACCCCATTAAACAAACCAAGCACCCGACCTTTTTGGGCACTTGAGCCACGGACTTGAGCCATAACATCCATAGCGTACTAAGTAAACCCTGACCCAGCTGGTTGTTAGGGTGAGGGAAGTACCTATGTCTAATTACGGCTACTCTACTTACCTAACGCTTCTAGGTAAGTAGTGCTATACTGTACATTGAGTATAATGAATTGGATTGAATTGGAACTCATAGCTACGCTATTTACACTACGCTATACCTACCTGCTATGCTACATGTAGTGGGGGCTCAGGGGTCGATATATTTCAACTCCCCCCTCGCCTGATCCACGCTCTGCGCTTTTGGCAGGCACCTACGCACTAATATTGCGCAAGCGGGCGCTCGCAGCAATCTATGCGTTGGTTTATGGTTTAGCGATGCGTGTGTGACACATCCATTTCGGTCCATCATTGGTGATGGAGGTGGATATTGTGTCTTGAGAAGGTTTCTTAAGTTGGGCGGATGCCCTTGACCTAAGACCAACATTATGTTTTGGGCGCTGCCAAGGGAATGTATGTGAGCAGGAGGATGAGGTCCACACACGTGGTGGCGCGGTTTCAGCGGGTTCAGCTGTGTGATTGCCCAGCAGTCCGCACTGCGACTCATTACCTAACTCTGTGTTATCCCTACTAAGTTTATCACATGGAATGCCATTATGTTCACCTATCGACAACTTCTAGATGTCAGGGGAAGAGGCAAACTTGGATGTGGTTGGCTTAGCATTCGCACTAAGTGCGATCTTGGCAGCTTTCCGATGTCTATGGTTAGCGCGACCAGTTGGTTGGTTAGACCCTGGAAGCGACTCCTGACAAGGGATTGAGGCTGATGAAACAACTTGGGATTGAATTATGGCACTTAAAACGCTGGCTATTGGGGGTGACGGGAAACCAGGATTGGGAAGCTCTAACTCCGGAACATTTTATCACTATTCCCATGAAGTCGCGAATTTCAAGGAAGAGTGAAAAGGTATTGGGCTAGAGATTTCTTCACCTACCCTGATGCGAGCATGGAGCTCAGCATCCTCGTCACTTTTGACTCTTTATGTGCTTGCGTTAAGTGGTGCTTTCTTTCCCTTTTGGTGTCGTTTCTTTTCTTCAACCGTATTACTATTTGTGAAGTGGGCGCAGCGTTGGTCGGCAGGATGCCGTGTATGGGTGTTGCAGGTAGCACACCCAGGCGTATCCTCAGTGGTGAGGACATGATCTAAGAGGGTGTTTATGGGACATCTCCTAAGATCAGGTGTTGAAGGGTCATTATTACCCCCATCTTTATGACAGAGAACGTCATCCTCAGTATTATTAGGGGATTTCAAGTCATGCGGGTTACCCCCCCTGAAGAGGGCATGACCACATAACATACCTACCGGGAAGACGAGATCGCCTTCGTGCACCAGGCGCGCTGGGTTGTGCACATTGGCTGCTACGCTTTTACTTCCATGCGATTCAACTTTTCCTGTTATTACCTCAAACTTTTGGGTGCCTTTATCTAGGACAACGCTACTTGATGAGAGCTGCTCATGCTGCTGCTCTGAAGAATCATCAAAACCATCGGCCTCGCCGTCATTGGAATGTGAAAACTTCATAGCGTTATCTTTAGTTATATGGCTAATGGGGTAAAACTGGCTATTTGATAAGTTTAATCGCGTATGGCTTGGATTGGTGGCTCGCTGCTTCAAGATTTTATCCTTTGGCGGCTCGCCGCTCCCCGGCTCAATTAGGAGCTGGTCATCCATTGTGTTATTGGGTACGTTGGAAACATCGACAACGACCATTTTAGACCCCGATGTGTTAGCCAAACCAACAACGTCACCAACAGATTCAGGTGCTAGATCTGTTACTACATCTTTTGCGGGTGGAAAGACATTATACGTAGGGATTGACGAATTACCATGGTTATTGGAATCATCTACTTCTACAAGTGTCTTGGGTCCTACGGATGAAGCTGGCATTGCATTTGGTACCGGAGCAGGGCGCTCATTTGGATCAAATGAACATGGAGTCAGTTCTTCATCATATTGTGGGACGTATTCTACCACTCTAGATGCGCAGATTTTAGCGTTCCTGGGAACTTTTAGCCTGCATCTATCGACGTTTTCGGGAGCTATTAGATATGGGACACTCTCCCGTGGATCCCAGATGAACATGTAACCTTTATCTATGACTGCTTTACCTATACTTTGTGCTGGAGGGCATTCCTCTAGAACATAGACCTCTTCACCATCAAGAATCTTACTGCCACTAAATGTCAGGGATCCTTTGCCGGATTGGCTGCCACCTCCGGTAGCGAAAGCTACGGGATTTGGAGAGTGCTGTACACTCTCCCGCATGGATGGTGTGAGGGCTTGGCGTCCAATGAGGTGTCGACCTGCTGCAGTGTCCCATAGCCAAGGGATGGCTGTGGAAGCTTCGAAAGGCATGGCAGTGATTACAGGTTTAATCGCGTCAGAGACAGCGATCTCTGGGACTATCACAGTTGCTACGCTAGCATGAACATTAGGAGGAGCTTTATTACCTTTCCTAAGTGATCTAGGAGGAGGTCCTCGATATTTATTGATTTCAGAGTGGAGGAATGCGCACGATTCTGCCCTACATGCATTGTACGTGAAGAACATGCAAGGGGTGGTGGCCTTCTCGGCTGCCGATTTACGGGCTGCTCTCTTGGTCCTCTTCCCCTTAGGGTTCGTGCTATCCACATCAGTGGATGGAGGCTGCTTTAATCCTACGGGTCTAGCCTTTTGGGTAGGGGCTGCCTGCATATCCTCTTCGGTCTCACCCCCCCCTGAACCCTGACTTGTTGGAGATTCAGGAGTGTTCTCCGAGCCTGGGTCTGGGGTTGGTGCCGGGGCACCAGCGATGTCGTCATCGGGAGGTGGATTGGTACCGAAGTACCCTGCCGCTGGTTTTAGACCTAGCTGTTCATCAAAATCTCGGCGATTGCGCTCTTGCTGTTCCAGTTGGATGGCTAGTTCAACTTTAGACCATAACCAGTCAGTTGTGCGACGATGGCTATCTAGTCGGGCTTCCCTAGCTTTAACGACCTTTGGGGCCATTACAGCATGATGCTCAAGTTCGTCGATAAGATGGTTAAACAGCGTTTGCGGTCGCGGCAAATCCTCTACGGGAATTGTTGACATTACGTAGGTATAGGTGTCTCTAAAGGTAACTAGATCGGCTATAGTGTTACCGGGGACCTTAAGGGACAACAAATTTCTTTCGCCAAGCATGCCCAGGCGGTCACGCTCTAGCTGGAAATATTTAAATATTCTACGCAACATCGCGCGCCCGCAGGGCATAGCCCCACTAGCAGCGCGCTCAGATTCTAACATCTGATTGAAGAGGAGTCCAAACTTTCCGCCTTTGCAAGTTCCTAAGAGCTTGGATGCTACTTCGCGGTCAGTGCGAGGGTAGCGAGGGTCGGCTTGGAGCTCTTCCTCTGTTAAGGTTAGGCACTCCTGGGCCCACAAGTAAAGTTCATTACCAGGGGTCTTTTGAAGTTTGCCTATGGCCATTAACACCTGGTTCATGTAACCTCGAGATTCACCTGCATTAACAGGAGGGTGGGGAAAAACCAGGTTAGTCAGGGACGTTACCATAACGGTCTTGGCTTCCCGTCTCGCGAAATCTACAGGTGATAAGGAGGAACTGTCGGATGATGACCCTGAGCTCGAAGAGTCAACAGACCTACGTGAACTTTTGTGGTGATAATATGATGGCATTGAGTGTTGGGCACCTCGTCGGACAAGGTGCAATGGCAATGGTGGCACCACCGGAGGAAGCACCTGCTGCGGGAATAACTCACTTCCTGTGGCTCGACGAGTCGAATTACCACATGGTGTACCCGCATGGCTCGCATGACTAAGACCTATCCCTAGTGGCGTGCCAGAGGCAGCGCCCTGTGCAAATGATGCTGGGGGCGCACCGGCTGATGCTACTACTTGGTGTGCTTTTGCCAAAGCTGGGTTCGAATCACTTACAGCATGTGCACAAGGCACAACAGCATTAGATGCTGTAGGCAAGTTAGCTGAAAGACTGGGTCTTGTTGAAGCCACCTCCTGTAGCTGTGTGTTCGCCCTAGATTGTAATTGTTGTTGCATCTGTTGAAGCTGCTGCTGTTGCAATTGCAATGCCTCTGACAACCTTAACACCTCAGCTTGGAGTTGTTGAACCAAAACTGACTCTGATGTGTTCGAGCCACTTACAGCTGTTGCACTAGGCACCATAACATTTAGTGTTATGGGCAAGCTAGACACTGTGACTAACTCTGCGAGCTGTTGGTTCGCCACTACAGGGGCGGGTGAGATACCCGAGTGATGTAAAGACTGGGGCAAGGATGCTACGGCATTTTGTGCGGCTACATTAGACGATTGAGAGTGGTTCTCTCCTGGTTGCGCAGGAAAGCCACCACCAGGGACTTTGGGGTTAACCCTACCGGTCGCCTCTACGACAGTTGGGACAGCAACCATTTGCAAAGTGCCTGATGTATTTTGTAAATTAGATTGGCTTTCTCCTAATTGTGTAGGAGGGCCAGTGATGGAATCCGGGGAGACTAGTGCAACACGGTGTCGCTGCTGGGTTGCAGCCAGCTGACGTTCATTGGGGAACATCCTAGAATCCTTTACGGTTATTCCAAAATCCCTACCAGAGACATTGGGGGCAACCCGACCAGTCGCCTCTATGACAGTTGGGACATCAACCACCTGCAAAGTGTCTGATATTTGAGGATTATTTGGGGACAACAATGGACTAGCTGGATTGGGACATTGAACGGCAGTGGATGGGACCGCACTCAGATCTTCAAACACATATTGCCTACCCAAAGTTTGGGATGGAGAATTAACGGAATCCGGGGGAACTAGTGCAACACGGTGTCGCTGCTGGGTTGCGGCCAGCTGATGCTCATTGAGAGCAATCCTAGAATCCCTTACGGTTATCCCGATCCCCATATCAGCTAATTGTTGATTACCCAAAATTGAGGGACCACCAGAAACCGTGGGGATCTCCCGACCAGTCACATTGACATCGGTTGGGAATGCGACCACCTTCATTGGATCTGGGGCATGTTGTAGGCGAGTTGGGGACAACATGTTATTGGCAGCTAGATTGGGGTATTGGACAAAAGTGGATGGGACTTGATCAAGGTCTTCAAACACATTTTGATTATCCAGGATTTGATAGGAAGGGTTAATGGAATCCGGGGAAACTAGTGCAACACTATGTCGCTGCTGGGTTGCGGCCAGCTGATGTTCATTGGGGAACATCCTAGAATCCGTCTCGGTTATCCCAAACTCCCTAATAGCTGCATGTTGATTACCCAACATTGGCCTATTTTGAGGTGGTCTAACTGTAGTTTCAACCCTTTGGTCTACCTCCCCATGTGTCACCGGATGTTCAGATTGGACTTCTTGCTGTAACGATGGCCTATCCCCAAGATTACCTTGTTGGGCGAACTGAGATATACTAAACCCAGTTATCCCCACACCCCCATCCCCTTCATCCGGAGTTGCAATGGCTCTCTCCTGGTCGAGCAGGATGGCCGCAAGTGCTGCGTCGCGCTCGAAAGCAGCGACCTGAACGGGTTCAGCGCGCAAATGCACGGCAGCTTGTCCGGGTTGCTGGGTCATAGGATGTGATAGGAAGGCTACGGAACCAACATAGTCCCCTAAACTGGTGGCATGGTGCGTGTCGGAAACATCAGCACCCACATGGAGATTTTGTGGTATAGTGGGTCCTACAGAAATGCTGGGGTTTGGACTATTGCTTGGAAAAGGACCTAAGGGTAACCGATGCCTAAACAAACTATTGTTGTTATGGGACTCCTCCAGGCTAGTATCAGGCATTCCTTCTACATGCGTGGCATCCCCAATAGATTGAGCTTCAACCCTTCGTGGAGTTAAAACATTAGGTTCACCGGGAACAAGAGCTACGTTGAAGTAACTTTGGGAGGCTTCGGAGGGGTACCTAGATCGACTGGGCATACCAGGATCACGTTGGGGGATGTCTCCGGGCATCCTAACTCCAAGAAACACAACCTTTTACAGGATGTCGCAACTCAATTCAGATCCGACGCGTGCTTTGCACAGCGTCCCAAGCAACGGATTACAAACGACAGCGAAAGACCAGGCAGCAGATTTGGGAGATTCTGCCGCAGCACCCCCTTGCTTTCTCCACGGGTGAACAATGCCCTGTGGGAACCTTATGAGGGCTTGAAAAGACACAGTATTGAACCAACCAATCTATGATTTCACAAAGTTGGATAATAAGGAACAATAAAGTGCAAAAGATATTGGCAACCTTTGTGGAAAAGTATAAGCTGTGGCTTCGACAGCGGTAATGACCCTGGCTCTGACCACAACTTAAAAATTCCGGATGCAAGCGGAATGTTGCAGGCGGCAACAAACCACGGAAAACGGACAACGACGGACCAAAGGCACAGCACCAACTACACTTTACAAGGCTGGATATAGAAAACAGTAGAGTGCCAAATTAATTAACAGCTTTTGTGGAAGATTATAAGCTGTGGCTTCGACAGCGGTAATGACCCTGGCTCTGACCACGACTTAAAAACTTTCCGGATGCAAGTGGAGTGCTGCAGGCGGCAACAAACCACAGGAAGACAAGGACGACCGGATGCAAGTAGCGTGCGGTGCACAGCTACCCTAACCCTTGGGAACCTATGTCGCTTGCGTAGGTTCACCGGACTTGTGCCAGTGCCTACTACTGTTGGGGCGGAGCTCCAAAATCACCGCTGTTTGTCGCCAAAAGGCGGGCGAAGATGTTCCTTTGGCACGGCCCTTGCGGCTCTGCGCTGTAGAATACTATCAACGCCTTCTTGCTTGACCCACTCTTCAACTAAGGTAAGGAAGGACAGGGCACGGTCGTGCCTGCCAGCAGCCCTAAAACAACGGGCACCAGAATGGGAGCACTCAGCGACTACGTCGGAACGGTCGTCGACCAAAGAATGCGCGCCAAGTTGATGAAGCACGCTGCTTTTCCCTTGGGTTCCACAAGGATGCTTTGCTAGGTGCAATTGCTCAAAGGGAAGGCCTAGGGATTTTGGTTGATTTATTAAGTGGTTCGCGCCTTGGCGGGTGGACTCAACCTTGTTAAATCCAGCGTATGAAAGGATATGGAACTCGACCCTGTTACTTGCTGCTAAGATTACCTTATTGAATTTATCAATTAGGTGTTGATCAAAGGAGCCTTGGTGGTTTAACGCTTGGTCAAGCGTATCGTGCCAATCGAGACAAATTTTGATATTGCCAGGCACTGAATCTACAGGGGCAGAGTAGGGAGCGTGCGAATCCGAAGGTGCACTTGGAGCTCCGCTCGACTCTTCACCCCGCTGCGCCACAGGTGCGGCAGCAGCCCCTTCTGCCTGTCCAGCAGGTGCTTTTGGCTCTGTTGGATCTGTTCCCAAGAATGCCTTTCCACTAGAAGCCTGCTCCTTCAAGTACCCTGGTGGCGCCTTACGAGGAAGGTGGCCAGGAGGTGCTTTAAAAGGGAGTTTTGGCTTATCTTGTGGTGGTGGAGCTGGCCTAGCTTTTGGCGGGGGAGCTCCTGGTCGAACACCCGGTGGGGGAGCCTTATTTGTTTTGGCCTCTTTGCAACAGTGACCTGTGGCGTGCTGGGAGCAACAGCCTCCCTAGCAATCCGCTTGGTGGTTGCTGATGACAATGGCTGAGAACTTGCCCTCTTCGGTGGAGGGGGTCTCAATGGCTCCTTACCACTTTTATTGGGGGATCTACCTCTTAGGTTAACAGGTGATGAGCTATGCTGAACTGGTTCAGAGGGTGTAGATGTTAGATTTCTTGGGGATCTAGACCTGTCAACGGCACCTGTCGCGCGGGATTCCGCAGCGACCCCACAGGCAGCAGACTTTGGGGATTCTGCCGCAGCGCCCTCTTGTTTTCTCCACGGATGCACAATGCCCTGTGGGAACTTTGGTGAGGACTCTGAGGTGTCTTTTGGCGACGATGCTGCTGATTTTGGGTCTTTATAATCCCTAGAGGTTATTTTGATAGTTACCTTTTGCCTCTTTGGGGGTGGCACTTTAGGTGGTCGCGATTCAAAAGTTACTGGGTCGGCTTCAATGGGCTCAGCACTAGCCGCTGCAATGAAATTCCTACCAGTCTCTTGAAATCTTTGTGATGCCAGTGCAGGGTCTTCTGGGCCTTCCTCCTCGGTGTCAGGATCACGTGTGGTCAAATTTACAATGTCCGAAGACTGCAAGTTTGGGGTGACCAACACGACCCGACGAGAGCTCAAGGATGGATTCTGCCAGGCGGCGTCCTCCAGTTCGTAAGGATCAATGCCCTCAACTTCTTGAGTCTCAGTTCCAGGAACTACCACAGGATGAACAACTGGACGCTCTACAACTGTCGCGACCGAAGGTCCGGCGACCCGCACCCAAGTTCCTGCTGAATCTAGGCGTGTGTCAGGATAACCAGCAGCACGGAGTTCTCGAGCAAGCTCAATCTGCTCCCTGGCTTCTCTAGACAAAAGATTAACAGGCAAAGGTGGGATGGACCTATTTCTTTTGGTGTGCCTCTCCCTTGGAGACGCAGTTTTGGCAACAGGTGCTGGCTCCTCCTCACTTTCAACCTCAAAACTTTCCTCCTCTTCCTCCTGATTCCCCCCCACTGTCTCGCGCGCCTTGGCAAAAGCCGGAGCTCGCGCAGCGAGCTCTTCCGGTGTTGGCGGCGGATGCTGTGGCGGTGGTGGAATATTAGAAGGGACTACAGGTGGTGGTGATGATGGGGGTGATGGGAGCTTAGCCTTAGTCAAAGGGTTTACAACAGCTGGACTACTGGGAATCTTAGGGACTACTTCAATAATTTGGGTAGTATCTAAAACCTTTTGCGCAGTGGCTGATGTGTCGTGTTCTTTGGAAACAACGACTCCTTTGGGATTATTAGATTCTGGCAAGGGATTTACAACAGGATCAGCTTTTGGAGCTTCAGGCACGGCTGCACTTGATGGAGCACTACCGGATGCTTTGGCTGCAATCACTGTTGTGCCGCGTTCTTTGGGAACAGCGACCCCTTGCTGATGTTTTGGCGGCTGCAAAGGCTTCGCAACAGGTTCAACCTTAGGAACTTTCGGAGTGGCTACACTTATTGGAGCACTACTGGAACCCTCGGATGCAACGGCTGTTGCGTCGCGTTCCTTGGGAACGGCGACCCCTTGCGGCTGCTTTGGTGGTGGTGGCGAGGGCCTTGACACAACAGGTTTATCTTTGGGGACTTTTGGGGCTGCTACAGTTGTTGGAGCACTACCGGAACCCTCAGATGAAACTACTGCTGCGTCGCGCTCTTTGGGAGCAACGACCCCTCGCGATTGCTTTGGCAACGGGCGGACGGATGATGAAGTGCGGACACTGCTAAACTCGGCTTGCTGTACAACTTGATCCGCAGCACGCAAAGTTGGTTGCCAGCCAGAGGCTGGTGCCTTCGGCTGCTGTGCCTTTGGCGATGCAGCTTTTGGCGGCTCTTTGGGCTCTGGCGGTCGTGTAGCTGCCGCGCCACCAGCCGAAGCCGGGGCAGCGGCCCGAGCTTTGGGCTTCGCAGGGGCGTTTGGGCCTACGTACCTATTATAGTAATCCCAGCTTTCTTGAGGAGGGAATTCACTACCCAGAATGTTCAAGTTAATGATACGCTTTGGGGGTAGTACGCCCTTTTCAACTGCGTTACGGCCGTGTCCAATACCACGTCTCCTGTCCAGGCCGTTTGCAAGGGCCCAATTTTCGTATTCAGGCCACAAGTTAAATGTAAGGACTAAACACTGGGTTACGGTCAGATAATCTGCTATGGCTTGATGATTAGCGACTTGCCACTTTTGGTCAGTGTCAACACCGTCTAAAAGATATCGGCCTAGCCAGAAACCACGACCTGACCTCCCACCTGTATTTTGATACAACCAATCCCTAAAAGTATCTAGGTCACTAAACCAAGCCCGGATGGCTTCCTGGTTTCGTGTGGTCTGCCCACCGCGTGAACTCCTCTGTCGAGTGCGTTGTCTTGGACCTGCAGATGGAGCGGAGGGAGAGTGACCAGTACGGATGGGCTCAACACCAGGCTCAACTAAGTTGGGACTAGTGGGTGGTGCAACAAAAACAGATGTGTCTAGTTGTGTATTGGATGTCGCGACAACGGAAGTGTCAGCGACCCCAGGTTCAGTGGATTCAGCTTTTGGATTAGAAACTTCAGGGGCTCCTAAGGGGGCTGAGTCTACACTTACACCTGGGTTACCTGTCGTGACAACGGTTGTGTCAACGACCTCAGGCTTAGCGGATGCACAGGCTGGTTCGGATGCTTCTTGGGATCCTATACTGCAACTGGCTCTACACTATGGCCTGAGCTTTGGGTCTCAGGTTGGACGGATGCTGCAATGTCAGAAGCGTCAGCTTCAGGACTCTTTGGGTCAACTTCAGCTTTGACAACGGCTGCAACAATTGCGTCTTCACCTAAGTTGGTTGTTGTAGTACCTTCAGTTTGATGGGCAGCTTCAATGACGGCTTCAGTAGAGGCTGGACCAAGTGTCTGTTGATCTTCTTCCTTTTTGACAAGCTCCAGACTGTTATTGGCGCCTTCCAATCCAGAAACTTCGGAAAAAGTGATTTCACCAGAAACCTTGTCCGTCGCGGTATTGTCACCAGCGACCTCTACCGAAAAATTGTCGGCTGCTTCAATTTGCGCTTGTTCTGACAGGATCGACGGAAATGCAAAACTGTTCTGACCTTCTTCCTCCACTGGACCTGAGTCTGTAAAGGCAGCCTCTGCAAGGACTTCTTCGGGGATGTTCAATGCTGTGGCAGGGTCTGAAACGTGGCTCGCAAAATCCGTCGCGACGTTTTCGTCGGCGACCCCGTCAGGCAAGAAAAATGTTGAAGGCACAGCACCCGAACTTGATGTCTCCTGATGTAGCTCTTCCTTCACGTCTGTCAGATGTCCTTGGGCTCGATCTGCAGAAGTGGGCGCCTCACCAAAAGACAGCACGGGCGACAGAATATCCTCAGATAGATCCGCCCAGTTTCGGGAGGCCGCGGCGCCCGGTTCAGCAGTTGGTGGATTAAACTTCTCAACACCTTCTGCTTCCCCTAGAGCGTTGGCTCCTTCCACTGGAGTTTCCGGTGTCGCGCTGTAATCAGCAGCGACCCTTTCGGAGCTATCTGAGGGCATGCACGGTCAATGACGGAAGTGCGGGAAAAATAAAGGGGCCTAAACCAGAAGTTATCGAAGGATTAGACTTCCCCAAAAAGCACCTACGGCTGATAACCAGTGAAAACAGGGGACCGAACAAGGGAACCAACCACGGTATCCTTCGATAACCCCATTAAACAAACCAAGCACCCGACCTTTTTGGGCACTTGAGCCACGGACTTGAGCCATAACATCCATAGCGTACTAAGTAAACCCTGACCCAGCTGGTTGTTAGGGTGAGGGAAGTACCTATGTCTAATTACGGCTACTCTACTTACCTAACGCTTCTAGGTAAGTAGTGCTATACTGTACATTGAGTATAATGAATTGGATTGAATTGGAACTCATAGCTACGCTATTTACACTACGCTATACCTACCTGCTATGCTACATGTAGTGGGGGCTCAGGGGTCGATATATTTCAACTAAGTTATGGCCAAAGTTATGGCCATCAATGGGAAAATATGGAATTTTAATCGGATGGAATCGGGTTTCAAAATTCACTATGAAACGGATGATTCTGCCATAGGCCCTCAGGGAAGCAAGATGTTTGGGAAAATCCGGGAAAATCTAAACACAAATAGTTTGTGTCATTGGTGACATCATGTTATATCCAGTCATTGGTGATAATCATCATGTTGTATCCCAATGATGCATTGCTTCATACCTCCCACAAACAGGTCTGGAGACTCATCCTAGTTACCTGGATGTGCATCCCTGTTTGCTCGTGTGGCTACTAACCATGGTACGAACCAATTTTACATGGGATATCTATCTAAGCTATAGACTGACGGTTTCTTACCACTCACATTCCATACTAATCAGGCCAATATCTGATAGCCTGCAACAAACGGCTTAAGGAAAATAAACTCCATTGTTCATTTCTAGACATTGTTCATTTCTAGATTCTACGTGAATACATTATCTGTACCATCCATGATTATCCATGATTCTCCATTATTATCCATTACTATCGATATTAATGGGATAATCATGGATAATAATGGATAATAATGGATAATAATAATGGACGTATCCAGATATCTACATGGTATAATCCATAATTATCTACTATATGTTGTAGGGGTGCACATCCGAGACATACAACGAGGTGTCTCCGGCCTTCAAATATTCGCCCATCTTCAGCCCCACAGCGGCTCGGTTGGAATGCAGGACGGAATTCAACTTGGCATCCTGCGCAGGTTTTGTGATGGGAAGAAGGATTTAACATGGGGAACTTAACATGACTTAACCATCAACATAAGTATAGTTAAGTATAGTTAAGTATATTTAAGTGTAAAATTATAAAACAATGTAAAACATATGAAGATTGCACTGATTTTTCAGCATAAAACAGTGGGGGTTGAGTTGGTATTCCCCTCCAATGGTTTAACCAACCAAAAGGTGAAGTGCAAGACAACTATTTATCCAGGCTGTTTCGTTGTGGATAGAATGATCAAACAACCAACAGTATTGTTGAAGAAGCAATTTTCATATAGGTTTTCCATATGTTTGCATGATTTGGTTAGAATGATTCAGAATGATTCAGAATGATCATAGAAAACCAACAATCATCCAACCAACCAATGCCGCAGCCATTGCACATCTCCCATCCCATGGGATCATGGGAAAATCCAAAAAAAAGGATGGATGGTAACGATTGATATCACAGTTCCCACATCATCCTCCAAAAAACAATCAATATCATAGAAACTGATTAAAACATGGTCTTATAAGTCTTATACATGATCATCTATGAAAATATTCAAGGCAAAAAAACATGAATTAAGTCCATGAATAGCCCCAAAACTTCCATGGTTCAAACATGTTCAGTCAACCGCTTCAACCGCCGTCCAGGCCGGCCGTGGCGGTTTCTCCTTGCAGCTCATCTCAAGGCCCTTGGTGTAGAAGGTCAAGGCATTCATCAGCGCAATCTTCGAGGCTTGCAGCTTCATGGCCTGCAAATGACGATAAATATCATGATAAATATGATGATGATGTACATTGTCATATGTACTATATATATGATATAATTCGTAGATCGTACATGTATTGTATGCATCATATGATATATGTATAACTATTTTTCATAGATCATCATATTACATCAATATATTTCTGAGTATCAGATACATCAATCATTGGATGATGGTTCTGCTGATGCCTCGTTGCCCTGCTTTTTGAAGTGCTCAGCCACCTCCTCAGGCGTCTGATCGTCGTACAAAATGCTCTGAAGAGCAGTCCTTGGACGCCACAGGATGAATTCGGGATGAATCCTTCACTGAGTCACTGTCACCGGAGTTCAAAGAGTTATGACATGACTTTACTCATGGTTAGTCTGAAGCTTAGTCTGAAACTTCAGAACTAAAATAGCGACATATTTTTGACATCAATTGTTCAATGAATTCAATGATCTTCTCGTTGTCTCCGACCGGTGGCCTCAACGCAGCCTGGACTCAACATGGGATAGTTGTCGATATCTCGCGGATCCGACGGGATGTCCTTCATGAAGAGTGGATGCTCTTGGATCTCATTCCAGGTCCACACTCGATTGTCGATCCTGGAGAATGGACAGATCATGACAGAATATGACAGATCTATTCGGATTTGAGTTCAGATCTATTCAGATCTGAGTTTATCCTGAGAAACAGAAACATGATCGTTTTTAATCATGACACTTCATGGCAGCCGAGTTTGGCGGATAGACAAGAAATGACAATAACATCAACATCAGCAAGCCAAAACCACGTCCAAAATTTCGAGGGAATGGAATTCGTCAACGAAAAGTTGCTGCATGTCGCTATGGAAAAATCTGGTGGATCTTCATGGATTTTGGGCTTTTTTTAGTCTCCATGGGTCTCCTGTACCGACCCAGCTCATCTTCGCCCCACATGTTGCCGTCATCGTCAACGAAAACGTGTTGGTCAGGGCTCTCGCCGTTGACAGCGGGGCTCGCTTCCGCCATGGCGGTAGCTAAGCTGATGATCAACTGTGGGCTTAACCTGTCGCGTGATGAGAAACATTGGGTGAAAAAATGGGCTAAGCTAAGAAACATGGGGAAAAAATATAGTGATTGTCATGTATGTACTCAAAAAGTCTCAAACATATCTCATCGTAAAATGCTAGACTGCTAGAGTTGAATTCTTGATGCCAAAGGATGTTGGGTTACATCATTCCTACGGAAACCGGGTCGATTCCTGGATCATCCTTGATAGAAAACCTGCTGTGGGCGGTGTGGGCGGTGTGGGTGTGGATTTCTTTCATGTCCGGTGTGTTCCGGTGTGTTCTGCGTGACTCAAACGCGGCGCTAAAGCCAGCTGCACAAAAAAGACTCTGAAGACTGAACTGAACATATTTGACATGCCACATGAGTATGGAATAAAGTTGGAAACTATCAGCCCCATAAAGTAGACAAATTTGGTAGTTCTTTCGAAACCCTTTTTTGACCCATACTGGTACCATCCCCTACAGTACCCATATGTGTTCGTCACGTGGAATCAAGTCTTCACAAGCAAAGCCTCATATCCAGCATGGATTTCTGCTTCACCACCTTTTCTGGATCTCAAAGTCTCAAACTATCGCTCTGACTTGGACTTGGACTTGGACAATCTGACTGTGGTATTTTCACCGACCGGAAAACATCGGAACACATCTCCGACATCCGCGGCTCGTCTGGGACCGAAATGTCGACCCGCCATCTCTGCACCGAAATCTCGGTATGGCAGTGCCATGGCGGTGCGGCGGTCACCAGCTGGTCACAGAAACACCGTGCATCGCCGATCTCGAGGAAGTTTTTTTGTGCCTTAGCCACTGTTTTTTTGGATCCGCATGGCCCAGTATGGCTTAAATGGATTCAAATGGGCTAAATGGGCTGTTTGGATCTGTTTGGAACCACAAAAGGCTACTTTCAAAAACTGATCTGAGTCCATGAAGTGTTGGTATCTCTTTGTCACACCGGCAATGCAAAGCAGTAGGCAGAACATGGAACTATGGCTGTGGCTCACACCCTGAAAGCCGCGTCAAAGCCCACGTTCCTTGAGCCACTCCTCGCAGTTTAGCCAGGAATATGCTTCATCCCCATTACCTTCATCAATGATATTGGGGAAAGAATCCACATAATCTCCAAGCCAATAATTCATCTCCAATAATCTCCAATCATCTCCAAATATATGGTTGGTTATATATACATCACTATAGTAATTATCCATCCAATAATCTCCAATAATCAATACTGCCATGGTTCGTTTTTTGTCCTTTCCCATATGGTTTCCGTCATCTCCTGCATCTCTGGGGGCGCGAAGGCATCTGCCTCCCCCGAGGCGGCAAGGCCGGCAACGTCGTGCTGCCCTTGCCTGGCTGGTGCAAATTTGAATATCATGATAATGATGGGAGTTTTTCGATAATGAGAATGATAATGATAAGAAAAGATACTAAGTATACTAACTCAATCTAACTCATATTTAATATTGAAAAAACCATGGATATTGTTGGATATTGTTGGATGTTGTTGTAGTTTTGCTGTAGTTTTGGCAAATCTGCCATCGCAGCCAGTGCCTGATGAGTGCATCTAGCAGCAACTGCCGAGCCGCGCGTCCTGGAGCAGTGGCACCCATTTAAAAATGGGAAAAAACCATCCCCAAATGCTGGATTTATTGGATTTATCATTGGGTTTCCCAGAAACTATATGTATTATATGATAGATCTACATTAATATAGATCTACCCTATATCAATCTACAAAGAATGATTGATCTTTTGCCCAATCATTCTTGGAGAAACAACTAAGACTCAATGCTCCAATCCCGGAGAATCAGCAGATTTGTTTCTCATTGGACCCTCAACCGCGTCCGTAATACATCCGGAAGTCGGGCGGCAGAGCAGTGGGGCACAGCTCCTGATGCGAACTGAAGTGCTGCCGGGGAGTCATTTTTTTTGTCACAAAATGAACAGAATGGCTAGGAACTGAAGTTGAAAAACAACAACACTTTCTCAAACAATGCCAGACTTAGTGACTTGCATCATATAAATCATCATTTAGATTGTAGATGTATATATATATATTATCCGCAACTATATATGTAACAAAAATTGTGGATGTATCATTAGATCGTTATCAAAACGCCTCTGGAAGCCATGGGATGTGGAGGCGCCAACAAGCACGCAGCAGATAGGCGCGGGTCATGCCTCGATGACGTTTTGAAAAACCACCAACGACGAGGGGATGATCTCGAAAGGAGAACGAAGGATGAACATCATTAATGATAGTATAATCCATATATATATATATTTTACGATATAGTATTAATATCATCATTAGTATATATGAACATCATTAATATAAATTATGATGAATATATATATAGTTTATCCATGATTTATAATGATAGTATAATAAATGATCTATATATTACTATATACATATATAGTATAAGAAATAGTATAGGATAAATAATTAGGATAGTATAGGAATATATCCATAATTATCCCAACATATATATTATCCATGATTTATGATGGATATATGATTATATCATAGTTATCCCATCATAATATTATGGATAAATGGGATAATTATCATCCTATATGATCTATTATCCATGATTTATGATGGGATAATTATGGATAAACTATAGTATGATGGAATAAATATGGAATAATTATAATCTAATAATCTAATTGTGTATCATTTTGTGTGTATAATGTAGTTGTCTAGGCTTTGATGTTGGGTGTGTTTTCTTTGGGGGAATAAGTTTGGGGTTCCTTTCTGTTTCGAAGTTTGATCTAGTGTTCTTTGGATGTTTTGGGGGGCATTGCATTTCGGAGCAGCCACTTGTTTATCCCACTTATTGATGGCTGATCATTGTTTCCTTTTTCATCATCTTCCATTTGTTGTTTTTTTCCTGGAGGGTCCTACATGGGTGATTGAGGTTTGTCTGAAAATAGGGTGGCCCCAAATCCCATTGTTTATCTCCGTGTTCCTTATCTAAATCTCATAGTTGATCAACTGTCATCCCTTTTCTCATGAACAATTGCAACAATTGCCCACATTTCACCCTTGTATCCTCCATGAGAAAAAGCCATACCAAGCTTCAGACTCATGCCGGCCTCAGAACGTACCCAGTCGGCTGTTCTCAGGATAGCCTCTCAGCCAATCTCCAAAATGTTACAAAAAAGATGGGAAACGAGATGAACAATTTGACATAACTTGACATAACTTGACCACTTTGCCCCAAAGGCGCGCAAGTTGAAATGAAAAGTTCAATTGCATCCACCCTTTGGTAATCAAACATGGCAGGAACATAAGATTTTTTATCATTAGGCTGGGGTGGGGTAGGATAGGGTGGGGGAGTAACGTCCATGAGATATATTCCATCAGATGTACTGGATGCTACGCTAGAATTGACATTCCAATGGTACAGTGCATGGACTTCACCAAATCGTCCTCGCGAAGTCCAAAATGTATGTATGTATGTAAGTATGTATCAAATTATGTCATATCATATCATATCACACTAAATTGTATTATATCATGTATATTATGTCATATTAAATAATATATTATTATATAATTTTGTATTATTTAATACTATATCATATTATAATGCATTAGATAATAGAATTTTATGTTATATAGTAAAATATTATATCATATAATATAAAATTGTATGATATAATACCATATTATATTATTGTATATCATATTGAATCTTATTTGATACATTATATTATATTAACTTTGACTATGTTATATTGTATTACATTACATTACATTAAATTGCATTTGATATATTATATATTACATGTAAAATATTGTATATTGTAAAGTATATTGTATATTGTAAAGTATATTGTATGTTACATATTATACATGACATATTATTTATTATATATCATATATCATTCATACATATTATATATTATATATCATATATATAGTATATTGTATATTGTATGACATCATTGTACATTATATATGTTGTATATTGTATATTGTATGATATCATTGTATATTATAGATTATTAGACTATATTGTATCATACTATATTGCATTATATTATATTGTATTGTATAACATACGATATAATTTCATATTTAATCATACATAAACATATGTTATATCTAATACCCTCTGGTAATTTAACATAACTATGGAAAATCACCATTGTTTATAGGAAAATCCACTATTTCTATGGCCATTTTCAATAGCTATGTTAGACATAACCAGAGGGTATATACTTTGAACCATGATGGATTTTTTTCAGCAAAACAGTCCTGCATCTCCTGGCCATCCGAGGTGTCGCCCTGGAGCTGTCGCAAGCACCGCATCACATCGGCCACGACGCGCTCGACGGCGTTGCCCAGGACCTGCTGGTTGCAGACGTCGATCTGCTCCTGGAGCTGGCCTGGAATCCGCTGCCTCACCTGGGCCGAAAAAGAGAGAGACCAATAAGGATGGCTATTGATACACCAATTCCAGTAATAATAATTTTGTATAATATAGTATAATACATATAATACATATAATACATTATACTATTACTATTGATGTAAAGAAAAACTATTCTGTTTCTCCGTTTCTCAATGGGCTCATGGAAGGATCAGTTCTGCATCGTTTCAGGTTTCTTCTAAGTTGACTTGGCTTGTTGATGGTTAAAGAAAAACTAATGCGATAAGATGCGATAAGTTATAACATCCCATTTTTCCAGCTTTTGATGGGTGAACCATGTTGAACCCTGATCATCCAATGATCATCCAATGATCATCAGCAAGATGTACCTGGTCTCCATGGCTTCTGAGCCAAGCACCTCATCCAGTAGCTTGTCGCAGCCCTTTCCGCCCCGACGGACATAGACCTCGCAATGGACCACCGGATTGGGCAGTTTTGTGCATATTACGTGCGTTCAATTTTAAAAAATGGGGGATCAAATGTGTCAATCATTTTGCACCGCAGTCATGTAAAGACATCAAAAAGTCGTGGATGCATCATCTGTATGGGGCTGGGCACGCCTTTACTGCTTAAGAAAGGCAGTGTCTGAGACTTTCGATCGGACAGAGACCATGGATCACCAGGGCCACTGGGTACCCCGGCAAGGCAACGCGCCTCTGTGCTACTTCGGCCCTGATTCGAAGAAAGCACCGGAAAGGCAACAAGCTATGCATATCGATGGATGGATCATATGAATGCATATGTACTAATATTGTTTTATACTTGAAAGGGCCAAAATGTGTTGAATTTAATTGCTGAAGTGTGTTTCATGGCTGTGACTGAGAATAGTAATGCACCTGATTTATGGCAGTTTCATGCGACAGATATGGAGATGTTATGATTGGCCAGTGGCCAGTGAAATATTTGGGTATACGGTGCAAAGTGACGGTGATTTACTCCCTAACAATGAAGATAGAAACCCACTTGATAGTCATTTCTAAGAGTAAAACGATCAAAACCGAACTTTTGGGTGCACTATCCTATTGGATTTGAATATTGTGAATGGTCAGGGCATAATTTTCATGTTCAGCGTCTGGCTGTGTCTGGCTGTGTCTGTCTGTGTCTTTCCCGCACCAAATTGAGACTCGCGGGACTTGTAGGACTTGTAGGACGTCCTGGGGACCTTGGGCCACGTCGATGGTTACCAGATGTTACCATGGGTTTCTCAGAAATCCTCCGGAAAAAAAAAAAAAAACACGTCCGGAAAAGAAAAATAAGAAAACACTTACCAGGTGAACATGGTGAACTTACCTAGTTTTTCTCATCGTCCTTGACACCTGAGGTCTACAGGCTCCATCAATGTCCTTTTCTTGAATGATCCTACGAACTGTAGCAGTTACAAGAATATCAATGCTCAGGCGGGCAAGTGGTGGTATACCACGCCTTAACCACTCTTATGCCCTATCTACTATAAGTATCTATTAAGTGGGATTATCATCCAAGCAGCAACTGGATTTGACATGGTCTAAGAGTCTAACCCAAACTAGTTTACCCCCAAATTCAATGGTTTACCATCATTGATCATAATTTAGCCTATATGAAAAAATTGCCATTTAAGAGGTATTCTGAATAGATTCTATAGATCTGAGGCTGACTGAGGCTTTAGCTTTTTGGGGTCTTTTTGTTCGAGTACCGGCTGACCATAAGGCGAGTGGATCGGCGAGGCACCTGTTTGGATCGAGTCCGCGTTCAGCAGATGTTCAGCTGAAAAAATGCTGAAATTTCTGGCCCAGCTCATCCAGAAATTTGGGAATCATAATTTCGATCATCAAATGAAAAACTGGATTTGTTCATATTTGATGATCATCCATATTCATACTATGAATATGATGAATATGATAATTTATCAAAGTATGAAAAAAAAAAATATTCATGTCATATTCACATCATATCCACATCATATGAATTGTCATGGTCACAATTGTCATGGGTAAATTGGTGTTTCATGTCACCTTATGTGATTTAGCTCACAGCCCCAGGTCATATCTGGCAGCTGAGGGTGACACCCTCAGAAGCCCTTGGCCTCGGCCATGCCAAATGGCACGGAGCTGAAGCCCAAATATCATCATCGGAGATCGGATGGATATAATTGGAATTGGATATATGATATATGATGATATCACATATATATATAAATAAATATTTATTTAGATATATATATATACATATTAGGATCCATCTGGATACCATCTGGATATTTTACCCCACTGATTAGCCGAAATTATCAGGCGCATCATCCATGGTTGCGGCTGCTGAGCAGCCAGGCGTTGATGACACTTCCGCATCCACGGGGGCTGGAAAGCCTTCCTCACTGTTGCGCCTGATTTTCCAAAGGGACCATCAAAATAATGCATGAATTCAGATATGCTCTATATATGTACATGTATATATAATTATATATATATATATTATACATCATATGCTCCATAATGTTTCAAGATATGTGTATATATATATTGCCTAGATTCCAATTTTTTTTGGTGGATCAACCAATCGTGCATCGTGCCTGGATACCGATGGAAGGCAACCGAAGGAGTTGAGCCAATGCCACAAGCCCTGGCCGAAGTTGAACTCGGATCTTTGAAAAATGGCATTCTTCTTAACTAATTAGTACTGTATTGGCAATATATTAGCACTATATACCATTAGTAAATATTAATATCGGGGATATTTGTATTTGTAAATATCAGTAGTATACTGTAAACTATATATTGCTGATATATACCATCTGTGCTGTATATATATATATACATATATAATTATATATCATTTAATATCATTTAATATCATTGCTACACCAGATATTTTAGAAAAAAATGTATCTTGACATTATTAAATTATCGGTATAGCATGTCAATTGTCCCTCAACTATTGAGGGCATGTCTTCATTGGTGGGTTGAATCATTATGATGCTGGTCATGCCTCAGAAACTTGGCTAAGAATCCCCCCAAAAAAAATGGCAATGGATGGAATATCTGCAATCATGCCATCCATTTTCAGCTCCTTATAGACATAGATGGGATGATTAAGCAATAAATGGCAACCGTTATAGACATAGAAAAGCAACGTCATACTATAATCATCATATCATCTTGGGGGTTGCTAAGTATCCAGCACACATTTTACCAGGGAAAATCCAACCACTTAAAACATCAAGTTACTATATTTGTTTTAAAAAAATGCTAAACAATCAATCCCAGATACCCTGGATTTTCCCTGATACCAAGTACATCAATCCCAGATTGGCAGGTCCCAGAGGTCCCAGGTTCCTGGCGGCTTTCAGAAGTTTCCGCTTGACCTGGATTTCCTGAGACCCGTGGCACCGGTCTCCGGTGTTGTGACGTGGATTTCAGGGTGTGAAAAAAAATAAAACCATTGGATTTCCAGATATTTCAATCTTTAGACATTAAACCTCATTGTTCAACTATTTGTTGAGTTGTTTAGCTGTTTCTATTCAATTCAGCTGTTTTAGGTATGTCCATCCAACATGTTCAAACCCATATGTTTGAATATGAGCGGCTCTTTTGTCGATTTTTTTTTCGGAACATCTACATTGAAACTCCCATTCTTTGACGGCAAAACTGGTAATGCTATGGATTTCTGTAGATGTGTCCCTGAAAAATCACAGATGAAGTCTGAGGAACCCGCAGATGGAGTTGTTTTCTGTCTTAACCATCCAAACTTTTTATAGTAATTCTAGGTATTTTATGATACCAATACCTTGAGAACTCCCAGAAAAGCTTTGGAATCCTATGGGTATCTAATTCTCATTAACCATCCATAGGTCTTATTTGGTGCGACTGATGATCACTGCTCAGTCTCCAACCTGTCAAGATCTCCGCACAATGAACCTCGGCAAAGGCGTCAGGGTGCAGCAACTGACGAGGCTGGATGCAGATATGGATGTAACAATGCTTCAATATATGAATATTAAGTATGTGAAGTATTCGTGTACATGTATATATAGATAGATAGATAGATACATAAATTATTCTGTGTAGTATCATATATGTGTGTGTATGAATGAATGCATATTATATATATATATTATATATATATTATATATTATATATATATATATTATATAATATATATATTATATATATATATATATTATATATATATATATTATATATATATATTATATATTATATATATATTATATATATATATTATATATTATATATATTATATTATATATATATATTATATATATATATTATATATCATATTATATATATTATATATCATATTATATATATTATATATATTATATTATATATTATATATATATGTGATTGTGTGTGTGTGGTTCGGATATGTGCAATACTGGCAATATAGTAGCAGCACAACGTAGTCATATGTACTCCATCAATACCACCATGTGAGCAAACGATATGGGGATTGAAGCCTGGGTAGGCCGCAGAATTCAGGACTTAACAATCGAAAGCCGGCATTCAACTCCAGAAAAATCAGAAAACCAACAACTCAGGGTGTGATAATGTGTGATACTTCGCCAAGGGCCTTAGGTTGTTCGGTTCTGAATTGCCGCCGTGAACGACCGTCAATGTCCCCGAGCCCAGTCCAAGCCGGAGAACATCGATTTTTTTACGCCTAGCGGAAGCAAACTTACCGCTCAAAAATGGCGGTTTCATACCAGCTGCACATGCGCAAGCTGCATAAGTGGACCATACGAAGTATAGCATTAGAAAGCATGAAGCAGGAGTGCGCTCTGAAAAACGGCCAACAAACGGGTACAGTGAAAATTCCAAGATATACCAAGTTTGCTACAAGGCGGATCCCCCAAGTTATAAGATGGCAGGATTAGGTGGATTTGGAATTTTGGAATAGATTGGAGCCGAAGGCGCACTGAGAACGGAACGCTTCATGTGGCTCGGCCACACTGCTTTCATGTGCTTCATGTGGTTACGACAGGCTGCCAGGCAGCTACCCGGCAGCTCAACGGCTTGAAAGGCACCGCCTAAACATTAACATGTCATCGATGAGTCATCGTTGTCATCGTTGGGTCTGAAAATGGTGCAACATGGCAACCCCCCAATTCTGGCAATTTCACTTGGGTATGGGATTTGGGGTAGCCTTTTTTCAGACACATCAATGAATCACAGATAATCACAGTATGTCACGTATGGCATATGTTACAAGCTCACCATACACGGCCTGCTACAACGAAGAACTTGCTGCGTTGGATTTACACGGGGTGATTCCAACTGATGGAAGTCTTCGACGATGTCAGAACAGGGATGACAGGGATGACGCTGATGACGCTCCAGATCCGTTTCGTCCGTTGTGTCGTCCGTTGTGTCCATGTCATCCGTGCCGTCCAGTCGAAGCTGCTGCACAAAGGTCTCGAAGCTCTTGGGGTTCTTGCTGATGACTTCCAGCAACTCTGGCACTGACAACGGCTTCAAGGACCTCCGTGTCGCTGCACTGCGGAATGTTTCAAACCCCAAATCATGAAACGATTTCTATATCTTTACCTCTACATACCTCTACATACATTTACTAAGCCCAAGCCCCAAGTTTTGCTGCATAGATCCAGTGTTTTTTGTTTCGGTAAACCGATTTACCCTCCCCTGTCCTTGGCTTTATTAGAGCCTGCCAGAAGCCATTCAGCAAACCTTTTGTCTCCATAGCGCCCCAATCCGGTGATCCACGTAAGGTCTGTGAGCCATGAGCTTCAGCAACAAGCATGGCTGACAATGAGAAATCATATTTTTGGGGAAGTATATCAATGATTATAAATTATAATCGTTATAAATAAGTATAGATTACTATGTTTTTAAGGTAAAAAATAATGTAAAGGACGATAAATATGCATAAATAAATGATTAGACATGTGTATAGGATTGTATAGGATTCTATAGATGATTGTAAATGGAACAATGGGGGAAAGCTGTCTCAAAATCCAGGATGGGACCCTAATTCAGGCCAATTCGAACATTGTGAACATGAGCTTTGAAACATTTTAAGTTTTAAACGACATGGAATAGGCGACAATAATTTTTAAGACAACCTCATGCCCTCCTCGATCGACTCCTGTGTTGAAACATGGCTCAAAATGGCGGAGTTCCCAATATCATTGAGGAAATGCCACGTTCCCATCATTTTCCCCACCAGAATTTGAGGCCACGTCCCGGATTGTTGAAAAAACAAGGCTTCAGCTCCGGATCTCAGTGGCACACCTTTTCACCATGTTCCTTGAAGCGCACGTGGGTCGCATCCTGGCCCAAAACAGCTGGGGAAAATGTTGGAAGTGTTGCCGAAAAATGGGGTGCATTGGAAACATGACAAAACTGGACTTGGAGTACTTAAATGTTCAGAGGATGCTGACAAATTTACATGGGCTAATGCCGTGGAAACACCAATGCTCATATTTTGTTGGCCAAGCATCCTAGTTCTATGTGCCAGTTCCAAAGGCCAGTCCTCTGCATGGAGTTCCTCAAAAACCAGCGCCATTTGCGGAGAGAACTGGTCATGGTTTGTCCAAACTGAAGGATATCCCAATTTACGGCCAGTTCATTGTTGAAGATTGAGTTTCTGGAAAACATGATTTTTCGAGTTCCAGAATTGTAGAGACAAACCTATTTTGAATTTGACCCTCTGCTAATAATTGTCATCTTCATGGCTCATTAAAGGCCTGGCAACACTAGAACAAAGACGGATGTGTCTGAAAATAGGGTACCTATGGTACCTCAATTCCAATGGATTATCATCGCTTTCCAGAAACATGACTTGGTAATACTTGGTATACTCCATTTCCAGACACAGAATGGAGAGGTTCGAGAGGCTCTTGGTCTGAGAATCAAGCTTCCGTCTCCACTTCCATGTCGTCACCTGCGAAAACTCACAAGAATCATAGGTAAGTGATGTTGGTGTGGCAAAACTCATATGCATATAACTCACCCCAAAAACACGACAAACTGAAAAATAACAGTGAAAACAGGTGTGAAAACTCATGGAAATTCATCCAAAAATGTCATCCCGTTAGGTGACCAGATCGGCCTTCATCTTCAAAGGTGCTTCCTTCAGCCATCCGACCTCAGCAGGAAACAAATGAGGGAAAACATTTCCTGAACTTGAAAAGTTTGGGAAGATGGGGGGAATGTCATGATCTAACCATTTGAAAATATATGTGAAACTATGTTCCACGTCTCCGGTCTCCTGAGGTCCCCTGCGCATTTCTCCCTCTTCACAAAGGCTCACATTGGAGTCATTCAAACCTCAGGTGATACAGGTGATCCCGGGTCATGGTCAAACTGGGAATCCATCGGGTATCAAGGTACAAAACAGAAAGTGAATAAATAGTGAATATAAGAAGTGAATATAAAAACAAGGTGGGCCAGAGAACCCAAAAGCAAGACAGCGCGCAACACGCCTTTTTTGAAAACAAGATGCAGCCCACGAACCCGAATGTTCACACGTATGTTAATGGCACAGATGTCGAAACACATGGATATGCAGTCACGTAGAACACTTCTTCTGAAACAGTTTATTCCAGTAGTACCGCACAAGGCGGTGGCGGACGTTTCAAAAATTGGAAACCTATAGGAGAGATTGGTTGTTGTGAGTCACGGATGCCAGAGCGAATCCACTGATGGACCGACAGGTGGTTGCGAGACGCCGGTGTAACCACGATTTTTTCGACAAACCGTTGCTCACGACAGTCTTCAGCCGTACCCACGCATATTTAAAAACCGAAAAACACAACATTTTTTCCTTTAACCACGACTAATTTAAGCACGACAAGCTCGACAAGAGGTCGGGTTTCATGTCCGGCCCCATTCCTTCATTTCCAAATAAAGAGAAATAGAGCCCGGGCTTCATTTCCGGCTCCATTCCTTCATTTTCAAATAAAGAGAAATAGAGCCCGGGTTTTTCCGGCTCCATTCTTTCATTTCCAAATAAAGAGAAATAGAGCCCGGGCTTCATTTCCGGTTCCATTCCTTTATGAAGCCCGGGCTCTATTTCTCTTTATTTGGAAATGAAGGAATGGAGCCGGAAATGAAGCCCGGGCTCTATTTCTCTTTATTTGGAAATGAAGGAATGGAGCCGGAAATGAAGCCCGGGCTCTATTTCTCTTTATTTGAAAATGAAGGAATGGAGCCGGAAATGAAGCCCGGGCTCTATTTCTCTTTATTTGGAAATGAAGGAATGGAGCCGGAAATGAAGCCCGGGCTCTATTTCTCTTTATTTGGAAATGAAGGAATGGAGCCGGAAATGAAGCCCGGGCTCTATTTCTCTTTATTTGGAAATGAAGGAATGGAGCCGGAAATGAAGCCCGGGCTCTATTTCTCTTTATTTGAAAATGAAGGAATGGAGCCGGAAATGAAGCCCGGGCTCTATTTCTCTTTATTTGGAAATGAAGGAATGGAGCCGGAAATGAAGCCCGGGCTCTATTTCTCTTTATTTGAAAATGAAGGAATGGAGCCGGAAATGAAGCCCGGGCTCTATTTCTCTTTATTTGGAAATGAAGGAATGGAGCCGGAAATGAAGCCCGGGCTCTTGTCGCGCTTGTCGTGCGTAAATTAGTCGTGGCTTAAAAAAAAAATAGTTGTGAGTGCTGAAAATTAGTCGTGGGTATACCCCGCTCCTGGTGGTTGGAGTTGTGTTTTTTGGAGTGGTTGCAATGGTTGCAGTGGTCACCTCACCACAACTGCTGGATGTAGTGTGGTGCAGCGCAGTTGTAGTTGTAGTTGTAGTTGTCGGTGTCGTTGTAGTTGTAGTGTAGTTGAGTTGTAGTGTAGTGGAGCTGTAGTTGTAATGTAGTGTAGTTGCAAGCGCAGTTGCAGTTGTAGCCGTGGTGTGGTGCAATTACTGTAGTGTAGTGCAGTGTAATGCCGTGTAGTGTTGTGTAGTGTAGTGTGGTATAGTGTAGTGTGGTCTAGCGCAAGGTAGTGTAGTTGTAGTTGTCGTGTAGCGCAGTGAAATTAGTGCAGTGTAGTGTAGTGTCGTGTCGTGTTGTGTCGTGTCGTGTGGCGTGGTGTGGTGTAGCGTAGGGTAGTGTAGTGTAGTATGTGTAGTGTAATGTAGTGTAATGTAGTGTAGCGTAGAGTAGTATGTGTAGTATGTGTAGTATGTGTAGTATGTGTAGTATGTGTAGTATGTGTAGTATGTGTAGTATGTGTAGTATGTGTAGTATGTGTAGTATGTGTAGTACGTGTAGTATGTGCAGTATGCGTAGTGTAGTGTAGTATGTGTAGTATGTGTAGTATGTATAGTATGCCTAGTATGTGTAGTATGTGTAGTATGCCTAGTATGTGTAGTATGTGTAGTATGTGTAACATGTGTAACATGTGTAGTATGTGTAGTATGTGTAGTATGTGTAGTATGTGTAGTATGTGTAGTATGTGTAGTATGTGTAGTATGTGTTGTGTACTGTTGTGTACTGTTGTGTACTGTTGTGTAGTGTAGCGTACTGTAGTGTAGTGGTGTAATGTAGTGGTAGTTGTAGTTGTAGTTGCGGCTGCAATTGTAGCTGTAGCGTAATGCAATTTAATCAGTGTAGCGTAGTGTTGTGTAATGTAGTGTGGTTGTAGTTGTAGCTGTATTTGTAGTTGTAGTGTGCTGCAGTGTAATTAGTGTAGTGTAGTGTAGTTGTAATTGTAGTTGTAGTTGTGGTAGTAGTAGTAGTTGCAGTTGTTAGTGTATTGGCGTCGTGTAGTGCAATTGTATGTAATTAGATCCCCGTTGCTTGTGCCTTTTAGTCTCATGCCTCGATTTTAGCCAGCTAAAACTCCGAACCTACCCCAAAAACAAGGCTGGATAAAATTTGGGCAGGAGGTCCTGCATAGGCTAAAATTTGGGCTCGAGACCCAAAATTTATACCATCCCACTTGGTTTGTAGAGAGATATCAGGCAGATAAAATCCAAGGGTTTGACGTCTATTCGGCCGAGTCAATTTTTGAAAAATGTGAGGTCTTTGCAGGTTATGATCCTTGGCTGCTGATGTTTTTTTCTGTCAACGGGGCCAGGACAACATATGCACGGAAGAGTGCAGTTCCGGCTCAATCCCAAAACGTGGCTAGCATGAGCCCTGTGGATTTGGAGACCTATCGCGCACAATGCCCTCCAAACAGAACGTCCAAAATCCCTGCTTGAACTGCTTCATGTACCAAAATCCCTCCTGTATAAAATTCCGTGGGACTGAGAGTCAAGAACGTGTAGAACTTTTATGTTTGATAGTAAAGGTATCCGGCGAATAAAATTCCGATACAACCCCAAAATATAAGAAACAGCTACTGGGATAAATATGCGGTGGAAGGTATCCAAGGTACCGGCTGGCTATTTTTTTGGGCTGGACCCTCAGGATTTCAGCCAGGGGTAAGCATCAGGGATTAATTAGTGTAGTGTAGTGTAATTAATGTGGTGTAGTGTAGCGTAGTATATTTGCAGTTGCAGCAGTAGTGTTGTGTAATGTAGTGGGTTTCCCGTCTGTCCACCCTGTCGTCGCTTCCGTGCCGCTCCCTCCCAACAGAGCTCTCCCCAAGCTATTTCCCACGGTTTCCCGTCCGTCCACCCTGTCGTCGCTTCCGTGTCGCTCCCTCCCAACGGAGCTCTCCCAAAGCTATTTCCCACCGTTTTTCCCGTCCGTCCACCCTGTCGTCGCTTCCGTGTCGCTCCCTCCCAACGGAGCTCTCCCCAAGCTATTTCCCACGGTTTCCCGTCCGTCCACGATGTCAACGCTTCCGTGTCGCTCCCTCCCAACGGAGCTCTCCCCAAGCTATCTCCCACGGTTTCCCGTCCGTCCACCCTGTCGTCGCTTCCGTGTCGCTCCCTCCCAACGGAGCTCTCCCCAAGCTATTTCCCACGGTTTCCCGTCCGTCCACGATGTCAACGCTTCCGTGTCTCCCTCCCAACGGAGCTCTCCCCAAGCTATTTCCCACGGTTTCCCGTCCGTCCACCCTGTCGTCGCTTCCGTGTTGCTCCCTTCCAACGGAGCTCTCCCCAAGCTATCTCCCACGGTTTCCCGACCGTCCACCATGTCAACGCTTCCGTCTCGTTCCCTCCCAACTGAGCTCTCCCCAAGCTATTTCCCACGGTTTCCCGTCCGTCCACCCTGTCGTCGCTGAATTGTCGCCCCTCCGCGGCAAAGTAAAATAAACGAGAACCCAAGCATCGGAGATGCTTTTGGGAAAAAGTAAGAAGTAACCATGTTGCCAACAGACTTGTGGCTCCACAAGGTGACAGCCATGAGATCCGGGCAGCACCAGGGCTTTGGACCTGGATCAATCTGTGGACCGTCACCCATTGATGCCACATGATATCACCAGCATGTTCACCATGCCTGATGGCGAGCGCACGTAGGCAAAGTAGTGGCCATGATCAACCTGAAGTCATAGCAACACCGATGTGCTATGCTCATTGGCTCATGTTGTTCACTCGCTTTCATAATGTTCAAAATTCTACAGTAACATTAACGACGGGGAAACATATCTCAACAAAATCAACATCGACCCAAATGATGCCATTTGGCAGCAGCGTGGCTTTGAACATAGGAAAAACATGCCATCCAAAACCTCAATCAGCTTCTCAGCTGAATGCACTTTTTCTTGATGCCTGATGTCAACCTCCTTGCTTCCGCCTTGCCATCTTCATCTCGCTGTTGAATCATCATTTCATCATGTTCATCATGATTTTCCCAGGATTCAGCTCGATCAACTCGTCTGGGGGGCCCATGCTACACCCCGGTGGACGATGACGGCGCGCAGCTCGTAAAGCAACTCCTGAGGAGGAAATTCTTCAGAAGAAGTCACAAGTTTTGGTTCGTTGATGATTTTATGGATGTTTGATGGTGTTGATGTTGAATGGCTTGTGGCTGTTGATGTC